ACCCTTGATCGCTTAAGCGATATCTATACTCACTTAAGCGATACCTATAGTCACTTAAGTGATCATGACCAACATATATTATTTCCAGCTTTTCTCCTCAATTTGACAACCTAAAATCACCAACACGTATTAATTCCATCTTTTCTCTTGAATTTGACAACCTAATTGCATCAACAAATTAATTCCATATTTTCTCCTCAATTTGACAACCTAATTGCATCAACACATTAATTCCATATTTTCTCCTCAAGTTGACAACTTAATTGCATCAACACATTAATTCCATATTTTCTCCTCAATTTGACAACCTATTTGCGTCAACACATACAAATTCTATTTAACGAGAATCCTACATAAACTCAAAGTCAAAAGAGGGAAATAAATACTAAATTGCTTTTGTACAGATCTGAAATGTGTCAATTACATAAAATTATAACATTATAAACAAGAAATAAATGTCCTATATGCATCCAAAATAAAAGCAGCGTTGGCAGCCTCCATCCTCCCTCTTCATCATTGTCTTCAGCCACTTCCTCATCCTTCGAAGTTATCCAGCACACCTTCAACATCAACCGTAGTAGCAACAACCTATTCGTCTTCTTCTACAGCACCCCTTCCAACATTATCTAGCCTTGGACTTGGCCACAAAGCATACATAACACCATAACCTAAGTATCAACAGCCTGACGCCTAACAACACCAGCTGATCCAATTCAAGACAATATAATTATTTAAGACAACCTAATAAGAAATACATTTCATATAAACTATAAAACTCTAAGTCCAACTTCCATACCTTTTTATGACAACATCAACAATGACTTGGATTGGGTTCTGGTCAGTCAAAAGGGATCCATATGCACATGGAAGTACTTAACAGCCAAGCGCTCCCAAAAGTTGCTCATTGTATCATCGTTCAACTTGTCCATTGGGGTGTTGGTCATGTCAAACACAATAAATTTTAGGGCATATGCCCCGCAATCAGTACTATAATAGGAGAAAGACATTGATATTAGCATTTAAATCAGCTTATAGAACAATTATATTATGTAAGTTTTATATAAAATTTACCTCGAGTCATTTGTCGGGATAGGAAGGCACTTGTGTGGCCACTTTCCCGTCAGTAGTTCATCACCCAAGTGCTGAAACATCCTGTTGTTGCGCAACAGTTGTGGGGACAATATGCACAGCGGATGCAACTCCATCTCCAACTGTCTCTCTCGACAAATACTCGGGTTGCAATCAAGGATCTGCAACAAGCCATCCGCTAGTAACCAAACGATGGTTATCCAATGCATATCCTTGATGTTCACGATGCAATATACTCTTTTCACGTTTGCCAAACTGTTGCCATATTTGGGCCTTTCCCCTTATATATACTGCATCATCCTCTCATCAAACCAAAAATAACCGTCGAAGTCTTTTGTAGCCATTCTTTTCCGCTTGCCTCCCCTTGTTGCACCTCCACCATTGGCTTTTTTCATTAATGTGTCATATGTAATTACTAGGCTTTGGCCAAAGGCCACATCGGTGATGGCACAATGCAGATACAAAATATCACCATTACTGCTCTGTCGCAACCTCATAAGTACCAATACCTCATTAATGTGCTGCATCAAATAAAAACAACATGATAAGTGTCTATTCAAATACCTCATCAACGGTTTTTCCTTAGGCGATCTGTTTTGTTTTAAGCGATCTCTTAAAACAAAATAGATTGCTTAAACGAGCTCCTAAAAAAAAAATAAAAAAAATAGATCGCTTAAGTGATTCAGTATATAATACCTCATGGAAAACATAAGCAAAAATAAGGAAAAATACGGGAAAATAACTCACCGAGTTGTCAAGCCACCTGCTTATTGTCAACATCTTTTCAAACTACTCCCAAGGATAATCCCTGGTCTTACACTTCACACGCCCATCACTTCCAGAATCATTATAATAGGCATTGAATAGTTTCTTCTTTTCCTCATCTATTGGCCTATACAATCGACCTTTAACTCCTTCGTTTTTACTTCCCCACTTCCTCCGCCTTCCTCATCACCTTCCTCCATTTTCACTTCCCCACTTCCTTCGTGTCCCTCCTCACCCTCCTCCATTTTCACTTCCCTACTTCCCCCGCCTTCCTCTTTACCCTCCTTCATTTTTGCTTCTCCATTTCCATGGACTTCCTCATTTTTTTTCTTCGTTTTCCTCTTCTTTCCATACATTACTGTCGTGTAAGGAGATTTTACGTGCTTACCCTTTCGGTCCTCTCTTTTATGCTTAGGTTGCACTTCAACCACTTTCAATACCCCACCAACTTCCTCCTCCACCCTACCAACTTTCTCTGCCACCATATCAACTTTTTCCTCCACCATTTTCATCTGCTCTTCCATCTTCTCAAACCTCTCATAAACGATTGTTATAAAACTGTCAAAGAGACCGTTTATGAGGTCAACCACCTCATTCTCCTGACCTCGACGCCTCAACAAATCGGTGCTTGTTGTACTGGTTTACCAATTGGGTGGAGGCGTACGAACCTATTCATCCTCTTCCTTCTCCTCCTCTCTCCCGCCGACTGGAGCTTCATCCTCGTCGGCCTCAAATACATTCTCAAGTAGTGGCCCTGCAACTGCACTCACATACGTGACCCCTTCTAAGGTCCCGCATTAGGCGGTCTATCCCCTCATTTGCTACATCGTCCACTACTGTGAACAATGTAACATACTCCTCTCCCACTTCACCCCTAGTAGGGGTGAGGAAGGGGCATACGACTCCCTGCAATAAGAAAAAAAATCAATCAAATTTAAGTCACATTTATAAGCAAGTGCATATTCAAAAGATTAATCCTTTAATCTTACCTGAGCTGCTGGAATTTCTATTTCTATTTTGTCATAGTCCCAATGGACTCACTTCTCGGTATGCCACCGCAACATCTTGGGAAATTGCGATCGCTCATCCGAAGTCTTTTTCTGCCCCCTGCCTTAGCCAAGACAGTGACAACCTCATACATCCAAGCCTACATCGTAAAAAAAACAATCCATATCGTAATTAAAACACATATAATACAAAAAAATATAACAAAAAGCTATTAATATTTACCTGCATTGCCCATGGGAAGCCAAACAAATTGTATGTGCTCAATCTATCCTTTTCGACAGATTGGCGATGCTTTATCGCTATGTCTTTTCCGTGCAAGGACTCAATGGTTAGCTGAAAGGATAACCTTCCCCACGGATAAGCAATAAAGAACTCCATGTTGCTTGCAAACTTCACCCAATCCATATTAATGACTTTTGTTGAGTCAGAAGCCATTAGGATCAAATGCACGAACCATATTAGACACATCTTAAACTTCTCCGAAGAGGTATACCCATCTTCTTCTAACCTTTCCTCTAAATTACGTCCCGTAATAGACGCCTTCCCCCCCTAAACCTTTATAACCAAGTTATCAACTGCCCTACTCTTTGTTATTCTCTCTTGCCCCATATCTTAGGCCTATCATTAGGGCAAATTCCATCATTCCAAAATGTAGTGGCTTCCCATCCACCATGAACCACATTTAATTTTTTTTTTTTTTTTTTTGGGCTTCTAACTGAGTGCAGCAACATATAATGCACTCCCTGCCCTCAGAATGCCTTTTTCCAATTTTCTCCTATGTCCACAAAATGACCGAAATAACTATCTTTGAATCAGTCCATAACCTTCCTTTGTTCCTCTAAAATATCCTTTATTCTCATAAAAACTTGCCAACTCGACCTAACTGTCACCCTTACGAGGAAGTATGGTATTTTATCGCTTACAACCTCCAACCCATAGTCTTTATACTTTACGATTCAAAAAATATGCAGAATCAATATAAACTAAATATCAACAAAAAACAGAAACCAAAACAACCAATAGGTTACCAATTTGGGGGATATGAGCTTCGAGGGCATCGGAGAGTGGGTGTTTTTGGCTTCGAGAGAACCGAGAAAGCCAATGCAGGCCCTACAGAGGCTGTTGTGGTAGGTTCCATAATTGGAGATGGTAGAAGGGGGTGGAATAGGGGGGGCTGAGGGCTATCCTACATATTGCAGGGTTGGCCATAGGTAGTTGTGCACACGCAACTGTGTGTGGCTAGCCCTGCAATATGCAGGGCAGGCCTCCAACCCCCCTATTTTGCCCCTCCTACAGTCCCCAGCCCTCCAACCCCCCTATTTTGTCCTTCCTACCGTCCCTAGCCCTCCAACCTCCCACAAACAAACTCCATATGGCCTCCATTGCCTTCCCCCATCCTCTGGAACCCAAACAAAGCCACTCCCCCGATGCCCGACAACTGCGCCACAACCACCGTAACAATCAAAACCAACTACATATCCCCTAAATTCGCACAAACCGATCAATTTTTTCATACGTACGTTTTCTTCACCGGCGTCCTCCTCCTCGCCTGAAATCTTGCCAACATCCTCCTCTTTAAAACCATTTTTCGATTCTCCTCTTTGTTCTTGTGCCGTCGTTGTCTCACTTGCCGCTGGACCACCTTCACTCATTGGATGATCCACCGGAGCGTCTTCTTCAACAACCTTTGAACAATCGTTGCCGTCGGACTCTAAGATTTGGAGTGGGGTTGGGTTTTCCTCCTCTGTGTGAATACCAGCCATGATTTTTGTGTAGCCAAGCTTTAAGATTGAATATTTGCCAGAAATATGGAACTTTATCGTCGAAAATCACAGAGAGATGGAAGTGTTTCGTCGATTGTTTTTGGGTATACTGTTCGATTAAGCGATTTTGAACGGAGGGGGTCGTTTTTTAATTTTCAAAATTTAAACAAATTTTCATTAATTAACTATTACCCATATACCTTTCAATCTTTTCACTCTAACCCCTTTTTGCATGTTTAGTTACAATTAAGTGTGCCATGTCAGATTTTTAAATTTTAAAGAAAAAAAAAAAAAAAAGGGTTTCTGATTTCTAGGGTTACGTTTTAAAATCCAAACTTGGGATATTTGGGGAGTTAAATTTCCTCCCGTCTGTAGCTCTGTACCAAAGCCCAAACAGAAGCAAAAGAAACTCAAAACAGATTTCTATTACCTACAACAAAACCCCTAATCCGTCTCCACCTAGAATTCCAATTCATGCTCTACTTCCTCTCTTCTCTATAACAACACTCTTTTTCTCCTCATGTTTCGCCGGCTTTGCACCTCTTTTTCTGTTTCTATCTCAAAACCAAAACACACTCTTACCTTCCAAAACCCCATCAACAAACAATTAAAGTTTCAGTCCTTATCTCGAACCCCGCGTTTTTTCTCATCAAATATCACAATGAGCGACACCCAGAATCTTCAACTTAGGAAAGCTGAGTTATTTCGATCTCTTGAAGCTTCATTGGGTCATTCTTTCAACACAAACCCAATTTGTCCTCCGCCCAATCCTTTGATAATTGTCATAAGCGGACCAAGTGGGGTTGGCAAAGATGCTGTTATAAAGAAACTGAGGGAATCTAGGGATTCACTCCATTTTGTTGTAACGGCTACAAGCAGGCCAATGCGGCCCGGTGAAGAGGATGGAAAAGATTATTATTTTGTGACAAAGGATGAATTTTTAACAATGGTTGAGAAAAATGAGCTTTTAGAGTATGCACTTGTGTATGGGGATTATAAAGGGATACCAAAGAAGCAAATAAGGGAGTATATGGGAAAGGGGTATGATATAGTGTTGAGAGTTGACATTCAGGGGGCTGAGACGTTGAGGAGGATTTTGGGGAATTCGGCTGTGTTTGTGTTTTTGGTTGCGGAGAGTGAGATGGCAATGGTGGAGAGATTGGTTCAGAGGAAGACTGAGAGTAAGGAGGAGTTGCTAGTGAGGATTGCCACAGCGAGGGAAGAGATAAAACATGTGAAAAACTTTGATTATGTGGTGGTAAATGCGGAGGGGAAGCTTGATAATGCTGTGAAGTTGGTCGATTCTATAATTGATGCTGAGAAAGCCAAGGTCCGGCAAAGGAGTGCTGTCATTTGAGTATTTCTTTATTTTTTAGGAGCAATATTATTAGAATTATCAAAAATTAATGTAGACATTCCAGATTGTTGATATGAGTCCAGTAGTTTTATTAAAGGATTTATTAAATGGTTGTCTTTGATTGGCTTAGAATAATCACTCTTAAATGTTCTGTAACTCAAAAACTAGGCTGTCAGCGTATCATTTCTGAACAAATTCTTGGGTCACTACATAAGATCAAAATTATTTTAAAATTCTATGTTTACTAGTTTAATTACATTTTTGTAGATAATTTGTAGCTTTAGTTAATGGCTTCTTCCAATGTTTGTGTAATGACACTGCAAATTTTTTGTGGCTGCATATTCGGTGTTCAATTAACCCTCTTGGACAAAACCTTTGGGCTTACCAGAATGTAATTCTTGTAGAATTTTCTTAAATTTTATTTTGTTTGTTGTTAATATTCGCCATGTCTCCTTTATGTTTGTGTGTTCATTATCTTACTCATTAGTTCCTTAACATGGATTTAAGCATTTAGTAGATTTGCATATTTTAACTTGTTTTCATCTTGCAAAGGACTCTTTGACATATCTTTCTGCTTTTACTATCATTAGATGTAAATACTCTGTGCGTAACGTAGAATAATGTGTGTGCAGTCAAATGTTATATGTATGGGAAATTATTGAAGTTATTTATGGAAATTTTTGTTGTTGATAGAATCTGTTTTGACGTAGGGAAGGGACGATTAACTTCAACATATTTTTGTCACTATCTTGTGTAGAATTGCTCTCCTTTTTCAGATTTTTTTATCTTTTTGTGGTTTGCTGCCGTACCTACTTCAACTCCTTTTTAAAAATATTGTTGACATGAAAGCTATGTGTATGGCTAGTTGGTATTATGCAGTATCGAGTTAATTGTAATATGCAATTTTTCATTCCTTGTTCAAGTAGTCAAAATTCAACAAGAGTTCCTTTAAAGAGAATTGCTTTTGTGATTAGTTTCATCTTTGTGGATATCAGTTCTTTTTTATGTGTTCAGTAAAGAGATTGTTTTCAGCATTTGATTTCTTGGAGTTATTAACTTCTTATTCAAGCATGTGTCACCAACTCTTCTTATTTTCTTGCTGTGTTTTTTCCTTTGATGAGTCATCTAGGTATTGATAATATAAATCTTGTAGAAATTGCATACTTTGAAAGATGAAGGGACAATTAGTTGGAAAAAGGCTTGCTAAATAGAATGTGTAGCTGAGATATTAAAGAAATGACTATTCTTTTGATTACTTGCATCATTATATTTTATTACTTGAAACCTTTTTATTCTTATATTTTGCATAGAGGAACCTTTTCTTTGCTAACTTGTATATATTTGGAATTGAATTTTGTTTTTGTTTCTTGCAATTATTCGTTACATCTCATTGAGTATCTTTGTTACATAGTTGAGGCATGAAGTTGAAAAAAAGTCTATATCTTGGTTAGGATCTCTTGTACCTTTGTTATGCTAGTTTAACCTTAGATGCATCTGTGATGCTTTCTATTTGATTGTATGTGTTGTTAAGTAAAGTGCGACATGCATCTTAAAGTTAGTGTGATCACCCTGATGTTATCAGTTTATTGATTTGGTTTTGGTCCCCTTTGATACTGAAAACTTTATACTAAATTGTGAGAACTAAATTGTTAGTAATGAATACAATCTTGAGAATTGAGGATAAGATGGTTTTTTGATATATAACAGCTTCTTGGTTGGTCCCCCATTCCATCTCCTTCCAGGTTGAAAATAAGGTTCAAGACATTTTGTTTGTATGGTGATTGTTATCTTGTGTTTAATTTGGAATGAGAGAAATAGCTAGATGTTCAATGATGTCATTGAGAAGGAGGTCTCAATCTTATGGGACAAAGTCACATTCGCCAACTTAAGACAAGTTCCCTTCTTTATACTACATAATTGGGAAGCTGCTCTAAACCCGTGCCTTAGTTTTTTCAGTTTCGGGGTCTGGTGAGTAGTTTTTCGGCTTCTGTTGATCATGTTTCCTGGGTTTTTCTGTGTCTTTAGCTTCTTCATTTTCATGTAAAATTTCTTTTCATGTATAAAATAAAAGATCTTACAACGGCTGAAACATGGGGAAAAAAAATGTCCTATCTCAATATGTTGGACTAATATTGGTGGTTGTTTCTGACAAGCAAATCTTTGCACAAGTCTCATAAATTATTGATCCCATTTAGATACTTGCATTTGTGTGAGCTTAAAGGCATTAATGCCGAGTTGAGCTTAAGCCATTAATGCCAATTTGAGGTGATTATTTAATGCTTAGCATTGAAGTTTAAGACCTCACGCAACAGCAAATCAGTTTTACAGAAGCCGGTGGCTAGGCCACCACAGCTTAAAGAGATAAAGATGACAAACATTCCAGCAAGTTGAAATACGCAACCCGAGTAGATTGTGTGCTACCTGTCCGGCCAAATTGGATCTGGACATATTGATAGATATTCGTGTAGTTAAAGGAATAATATGCAGACTTTGGTTCTCTTTAAGCCTTTAACTTGACTCAAGAAACACTCTTATTATATACCCTTTTTCTTTTTTGCAAGCTACAACTAACCAAATTTTACGCATTAGTGATAGACTTTGAGCAATCTAAGTGACAATGAACAGAACAGAAGATAGAATGAGTCACGAAATGGTTTGATTATTGTGTTGGTGACATGGTTTCAAAAATCTAGTGTAAACCCTCTTTAGTTAATTGATTTTTGACCCCATTTGTATTATAATATGAGCTTGAGCTTGGATCGAGAGATGAATAGGAGTGAAAAAAGCAAGGGTGCCCATTTTTTCATTAATAAATGACAATTAAAGTTAATATCTTAGTCTCCCCATTAAGAAATAGTATTCCAACTACTTTTAGATGATCGAGTAGTTTGATAGGAGCTTTTGGATATATTACTTAAGAGGTCTTGAGTTTGAATCCCTCTTCGAATACTAATAAGGGTAATCACTTGAGCTTTACTCCGAACGGTAGTTTTAGAGGGTCAAAAAATTAGTTGAGGTACACAAATTGATCTCAACACCTCATTCATAAAAAAAAATTCCAATCTAAATGAACTGTTGTTTGGCAAATTATTCCAACGGGCTACAATAATGCTAGGGACACCGAAAATTTTACACGAAAATGTGTACCGGCCTACGTGTAACACGCATCGTTTTGTTTAATAATTCTTTTCTATGAACCCGTCCATTAAATTTGACGGTCGTTCACTCACATGGACGCCCGTCATATTAATGGACGGGCGTCCAATACAAGGGACGAGCGTCCCCATTTAAAGGACGCCCGTCCATAAATAAAATATGAAAATAAAAAAAAAAAACTTTGGGGACGGCCGTCCATATTTTGGACGGCCGTCCCTTATGTTTGACGCGTCCATTAGGAATGGACGCCCGTCCATACTTAAAAAATAAAAAAAAAACATTTGGACGGGCGTCCATTAGGAATGGACCCCGTCCATACTTTAAAAAAAAAAAATTCGTCTTCTTCCTCTTCATTCCCAGCTCGTTCTCCTGTTAGTTCTTCGTCTGAACATTTTATTGTACAAAATTTTGTTGTAAAACTAAGGTGAAAAGAACCATCCCACTATGGCACTGTGGTTTTCATTTCTTGTCTTTTGAAATCGTATCAACATTTCTGCAAATTTAGGACTTGCTCCTATTATGTGGATTTCAGATCCTTGAAGGAAGATCATATAAGCTACAGTATCTTTGGATTGGCGTAGTTAATTGCTCTCAAGCTGTATCAACAAAAGTGTTGATATGATTACTGCTTGACGTAGAGAGCGGAGTACTTTGCAAACAGCCCAGAATACAGCATCTTAGTAACAGGATGGGTTCTGAGTATCTTGGAAAGGTGCTTTCTAAGGTATGAAATTTGATGCATTTATGTGGGTACATGAGAACATAGGCGCTGGGGAATGAAGAGAAGACGAATTCTATGGTATGAAATTTTGATGCAATTTATGTGGGTACATGAGAACATAGGCGTTGGGGATGAGGAAGAAGACGAAATATTTTTTTTTTTTTTTTTTAAAGTATGGACGGCGTCCATTAGGAATGACACCCTCCAAATGTTTTTTTTTTTTTTTTTTAAGTATAGACGGGCGTCCATTCCTAATGACGCCCGTCCAAACATAATGGACACCGTCCATAAATTTTGGACGGCCGTCCCCAAAGTTTTTTTTTTTTTTTTCAATTTTATTATGGACGGGCGTCCTTTAAATGGGACGTCCGTCCCTTGTATATGAACGTCCGTCCATATAATATGGACGGGCGTCCATGTGATGTGAACGACCGTCCAAATTTAATGGACGGCCGTTCACTATAAAAACTTGTTCAACAAAACAGATGTGTGTTACACGTAGGCCGGTATACATTTTCGGTGTAAAATTTTCGGTGTCCCTAGCATTATTGAACTGGCTATCATTACCAAGAAGCTTGTACAGAATAGTTTAAGAGCTGGCTGTTATCAAGATTAAGTCAATGCATAGCAAAGGATATGGATGTTTTTAAGGGTAATTAAGTCAATGCTTCAGAAAATAAATAAATAATGCATAATAAGATAAAAGAAAATGGAAAGGACTACACAATTTCCCATGTTCACAAATATACCCTTTATGTCAATTTGATTGCTTCTGCAATGGGTTTCTTCTAGTAATCCCCCTTTTGGTTATAGCTTTTAAAATTAGTTATTTTATGAAGAAACTTATTAGATAGCCAACAAAAAACTTTATGAGAGAAATATAAACAAATCCTTAACAAAACTTGTTGAAAAAATGACAGAAAAAAAAAAAAAAAAGTAACTTGACTTGACGTTACACTTTCCTTTCATTTTCATAGAGTAAACGTGCTCCCCAAGCTCATTCTCCTCTTTGTATATAATCAACATTCCACTTTAGGCACACCATTCAAGCCATAGCCAATCTTAAAAGTAAAATCAAGTTCAAACAGAAATAGTTTCTTTCTGAAACATGGAAAGGGGAACTTCCACAGATGGTGGAAGCGTTTGTGTGCAAGTCGTTGAGCTAAGCAGGCTTACTGCAAATGTGGGTTCGGGTACAACCATTTTTGAACCCCAAAGCTCCATTGAAAAGAGAGAAAGTAGCAACGAAGCAAGTCCCATTTCCCCAAAAACACCAGCATTTCGTGCACCAGAAAAGAAACTTACACTCTTTGCTCTACGCCTTGCGATTCTTGAGAAGGTAGCTACTGGCCTGGGAGCTCTTGGTTTCATCTGGGCAACAGTTGTTCTTCTAGGTGGTTTTGCTATCACTTTGGATAAAAGTGACTTCTGGTTTGTCACCATTATTTTGTTGATTGAGGGGGCACGTATTTTTAGCCGAAGCCATGAGCTAGAATGGCAGCACCAAGCCACCTGGTCAATAGCAGATGCAGGAATTTATAGTTTTCGAGCAATAAGGACTAGCTCTCATAATCTCATTGAAGCTATTAAGTCCATATTCCAGCCAATTTCTCTAGTTGGAAAGCGTAGTTCAAGGACTAGAGACATAACAGAAAATGCCGATGGAACAAGCTTTAGAAACTGCCAAAGAAAACAATCTACTCGAACATGGAAAAGTTCAGATGTTCCAATTCTACCATATGCTCAATGGGTTTTCCTCACAAGAAATATCAGCAAGCTTCTTTATTGGCTCCAGCTTGCATCTGCAACAGCCTGTGTGGCTCTCTCATTGATGAAGCTGATCAAGCATGACTATGGGGAGGTAGCTAAAGGAGATACTGACAAGAGGAACCGGTACGCAGCTCTGAATATTTTCTATTCCTTGGCCTTGGCAGAAGCTCTATTGTTTCTTGTGGAGAAAGCTTACTGGGAGTGGAAGGTTATATACTGCAAACTACTGGAAGAGGTTAACAAAGATTGTGATCTGGGGCCTACGGGTATGGTCTCTATTCGGAGGTTCTTCTATGACGCGTATTCGAGATGTATCAATGGAAGCATTTTTGATGGCCTGAAAATGGATATGGTTAGTCTGGCTATGGATCTCTTGGATTCCAATTTTCCTGAAGAGCAGCTCATTGGTGCTAGAATTCTTCGTCAATTTGCGCTAAGTGAGCGGTTTTCCAATGACACCCTCCAGAAGATTGGAATAAATTTGTCAGTAATAGAAAGATTAGTGGAAATGTTGAACTGGAAAGATCCACAAGAGGAAGAGATCAGGCGTTCAGCTGCAGAAATATTGTCAAGATTAGCTGGCAAAAAGCAAAACTCTCTTCGAGTTGCTGGAATACCTGGCGCAATGGAATCAATATCATCTCTGCTCCAAACCAATAGGAACTCTAGTTGTGCAACTGATGAAATTGGTGAAAAGAAAATCATCTTTGATCATGCAAATTATGGATGCTGGACATTTAATCATTTAGGACTTCTTATTCTGAAGAAACTTGCTCGTGACCATGATAACTGTGGGAAGATTGGAAATACAAGAGGGCTCCTACCAAAAATCATAGATTTTACACACGCTGGAGAGAGTTTGTTGAAGAATGAACATGCCACTTCATCTCAGATTCTGACAGTCAAATATTCTCTGCAAGTGGTGAAGATGCTGGCTAGCACAACAGGCGACGGAGGGAAACATCTCCGAAGAGAGATTTCAGAGGTGGTTTTCACAATAAGTAACATCAGAGATATATTGAGACATGGAGAGAAACAACCACTGCTGCAAAAGTTGGGAATAGAAATTTTAACTAGTCTGGCCATAGAAGAAGATGCAAAAGAGAGGATTGGAGGCACAGGTGGAATTCTAAAGGAGTTGTTCAACATTTTCTTCAAAGAGGAAATGCCAGAGAACCAGAATCATGTAAGAATTGCTGCAGGACAAGCACTAGCAATGCTAGCATTGGATAGCAAAAGTAACTGTCACCGCATCTTAAAATTGAAGGTAGTGGGCAAGCTAAAAGATGCATTGGAAATTCCACTGCTTCGCGTAAATGCAGGAAGAATCTTAAGAAACTTATGCACCTATGGTGAATCAGATTGCTTCAACCAATTAAGAGGACTCGCAACTTCTGCGCCCATAGTAAGTCTCTCCTTTAACCAACAAACCGATCTTTTCTCTGACAACATAGTAGAATTATATAATGTCAAAAGAAGTAACAGACATGGTATTGATTCTTTCTTAACAAAGATCACAGAACAATAAACTCAGAACTTTTCCTCCATTGCAGGTTCTTAAGACAATCATATCAGAACAGCACAAATTACAGGAAGTAATGATTGGACTAGCGGCACACATTTTCAGATTCATGACTCCTGAAGAATCCAGCATCATGTTCCAGGTAGCTGGAGTTAAGGAGGAGGAATTAGCTAATACGTTAGTCCAGATTCTGAAGAAATACCAGTTCCCACCAACTAAAGTTCCAAGAATAAGGAGGTTTGCCATAGAGTTAGCAATTTGGATGATGAGAGACAAGGTAATGAATGTACAGAGTTTCAAGCAGCTGGGATTGGAGGAGGAGCTAGAAGGAGTGTTAGAGACCACATCAGAGCTTGAAAATTTTAATATTTTCTCCGGCACTATTGGACTGAGCCGGCACAGCGCATCAATTCACTCATTGGTTGAAACCGCATTGAAGTTGCTTACACAGGGACATCATGCAGCATTTCACTGATATTAATTTTCTATACAATATTTATTTATACATATTGAAACAAATGAATAAGAAACAAATATGCTGATTAAAATAATCTTGTAAATATGTATGCATGAAAACTGTAAGAGATTCTTTTTTCCCAAGAAATAAAAATGTAAATTATTTAACTTTCTACCTCCCCAGATTCATAATGCTTCCTGTTGCAGTGTCTCTGTCATTATGCACTGGAGATTAACATAACTTAGAAGCTTCACTGAAGAAAAACCATGTATTAGAGTTAAGATGGCAACTGAATTACGGGTCCTACCCAGGCAAAAAAAAAAAAAAAAAAAACGTACTCAAATCCGCTCCAAACAAAAAATTTCCCCTTCTGGTTTTCTCTTCAACTCAGTTCATTGAGAAAGATACAAGATTTTGTACAACCATAAAAGGCCTAAATAGATAATATGGCTTCCCTTCAATCGAGATTTAAACTCTTTTACACTTAATTCCGTTTTCCTTTAAAAGAAAAAAAAAAAAGATTCTAATTTGATTCGCTTTACAAGTTCATCAAGACCTCACACTTTTTCCTTCTCCTAAGCATGTTATTGCAATTTCGATCCTATTTATCATGAATTGTTTTCGGAAAATAATTTTTGCTTCATGTCTAAAAGTTAGTAATTGTATATCATCCCAACTGAAGCAATTCTTTAAACCTACACAGATTGACCACTCTAAAATCTCAAAACCACAACCAGCAAAAAGGAATGCATAGAACCTAGTAAAACTTGTCAGGCAAATGACATTCGACAACACAACAATCACAATTCACAATTCAACAATCACGTACTTTCGCTCAAGTTAAAGTCGGCACCACAGAGCAAGAAGCATACATACTATGATTCAGAAACCAAGAAATGTGAATGACTGAGCGAGTTGGGTCACAAACTCAAATAGATGGGGAAATATACGAGGGAAGGCCCTTTGAAGTTTGAACTGCCTTTTTTTTTTTCTGAATGTAACTTCAGCCATTATAGAGTTTAAGAGATTCCATGAAGTGGGTTTTACATAAGGAAGGGAATGTGATCATATGTAATCCCAGAAGAGTCATCTGGTACTTAGCCCACTGCTTTATTTATTACGATTGAAGAGAACAAAGTAACTGACTCTTTCGGTTAATGACTTCATGCCACACCATCCAAACCGAAAAGTCTTTGTAAGGAAAAGAAAAGAAGGGATACAAGCAAAAAAATAAAATAAAATCAAGTAACAATGGCATTGGCACTGAAATATTGTTGCCCTCAATGAGGGTGTCAAAAAAATCATTACATCCCTTTTACAAGTGTGAAAATAAAAACCACTGTACTTCAGTTTTTAAACACATTCACAGAACCTATTTCTTTCTTTTTGATTAATCATTTTACATCACTACAATCCCTGAAACTATCTTAGTTACAAAACAATACATCATCTGACTGAATTTACGAAAACATCATTTTGATTTCTATCGACTGTTTCGAAAAAAGTTGAGATCCCAACGTCGCATCAAACCATCCATTATGTGCCCTGCTGGGTTTCTTACCACTGTCAATGTGGCTTTTGTATTACTTGACACATCAGCATCAGATGCCACACTTGCTGAAGTAGTATCACTTCGAGCAGATGTTCCTGTGCTTGGTGTTTCTATGGCAGATGGAGGAGTATCAAATGCAAGCCCACCTGATGAGATGCTTGTATCAGGAGACGGGTGATGGGAAGCTGAATCATGGCCATTTAGTACTGTAGTAGAAGTGGATTCTGTCTTTACAGGCTTCAAATCATCTACCGAAACTAAAGCAGTAGCCTTTGAAGATTTAGAATCTTCTGTGGGGGAGCAATCTTTTAGGTCATCTTTTTGTAAAGACTCAGAATCAGTGGTTGCAGAGGTTGGTTGTTCTGCTTCGGGATGTCGCATCTCCAAGTCCTTTAATGACATAATCACCGCTTCCATGAACATCTGAAATAGGCAAGTCAAATGTCGATGAATCATAAACGTTGCAAATAGAGATATGAAAACAACAGTTTGACTCACCCTTTCTTCCTCCTCTACATTGCTTGGGAAACCTGTCAAGTCTTCAAGTTGATATTCCACATACTGATCCTCATCCATTGTTGTTGGGACATGAGGGCCATATGGATGACCATTGGAAAATTCGAAGCTAATCATGTTGGATGATGATGGGCAATTTTTATCATTAGTTTCTTCATCCTATATCAAAAGATCATTCAGTAACAAATAATAAGACACTAGTAGCTTCAAATTATGAACAAGGAAAGAAAACATAAATTATCCTGCAGTGAATGGTCCATAGATTAAACCACCTCACAAATAGGTGTCAAATTGTCACAGTTCAGTCTAAAGTGGTAAGCAAAGTTAACAAATGCAAATGTTTTAGATAATAGATCAATACTTTTCCATACATAATACATGCATATGAATCAGTATTCTTTTTTTTTTTTGGATAAGAAACACTAGTGTATTGATGTATAAAAAGAGATATGTAGGTGGACCAGTTGTCTGTATGAGAGTTAGAGCTTAACAAAAAACTCAAAAATCTTGTGTATATGAACACCAAAAAGAGAGAAACTACGGTATCCCAAAAACCACAAAAACAGAACACATCAACTCAAAACCCCTATTCAGTGTATACAGGGGAATAAACTGGGACAAAGGATCTTAGAGAACAGCTTAATTATAGGTAAGGGCTAGAAGATACCTCAGCTTCAGCATGGTTATCTATGGCTGATATATCAGAAGGTACCTGAGCAGAGTTGAAAGGAAAAAAACAGAAAAAAAAAAAAAATTAATACACATAGCAACAAAGAGAATAATAATGTCTGATGACTTTGACACGCAAGTAATTAATGACGCAACTAATCACAAAGTACTAACCTCGGTCCGGCTCATTGGTCTTCTAGAACGAACTTGTTTGATGGCATCTACTGTGCTGCTTGTCACTGGTTCCGGAACTAGCATAATGAAGAGGAGAGTGAATAAAAGAGGCTGCCAAATAATGGCCCCAGTAGAAATTATCAGTTGAAATTTTTAAGAGACATGAGGCACATGAACCGTACCTCTAGATGCTGTTGAAGTTCCTGGGTAAAAATCTAATTCTTGCATGGTATTCCAACTACCCTGAAAAGAAAACAATCAACTATTGCCAAAAGGCTGGGGATATGAAAGCCGGTGCTCCCAATTAAATCATGATCTAAAACCAGATAACTGCGGTTTAATTTATTTACCTTACCGATGTAATCATGCATTGCACCAAAAAGTGTTGTCCCCACCTCATCCTCTGGTGGTTGCAAGACATTATGAAAAAAAATATTTATAGAATCGAAGTAAAATTGTGGGCGTGGAGAGTTGTGATCTCCCTCAAATTTGATAATATTCTTGTCTCCCTGCAAAAAGCACACAGTGAAACAAAACATATTATCAAAGGGATGGAAGAGGAAATGATAAAAAGTGGCAAAAAAATTTCCTTAACTTCAGAGGTAGAATTCTCAGCAGGATTTTATTTAAGAATTAATTTTTAGAAGATAGACGGACTATAAGCATCAGCAGATGTGTATGACAAGAAATTCACAAACTTGAGATCATGAACTGCCAAACTGATACTCAATGGGATTATAGGGAATTCCCATGTAACCTCAAGTAAGATTTAACATTTAAAAGTTGTAGTCAACTAGTACAAAACAAGGGTTGACCTAGTCTTAAGTTTTGCAGAATTAAGGACAATTAGATAAGATGCTCCATGCTTGTATGATTGTATATAAATTGTTTTGAAATTTTATCATCACGCAGAAAAGACTTACTGCATAAACTTCAAATATACGGTCTGAGTGATGAGGTTGTATAAAATCATCTTCAACTGCATGCCCAAATAAAGCTGGAACAAAGCAAGATTTTGCCACCTGAAATTAAAACATAAATAATAAAAAAAGATGACTTTTATGAATAGCTTTAAATGAACACAGATATTATTTTCATAATTGATAATTTTTTTCATTTTATTCACGTGTGTTTCAACCACTTGTATTCTATCCAACACAAAAACTTCTCTCTACTTTCTTAGTCATGCAAACTTGGGAAAGCAAAATGGACTTTAGAAATAAGAACATGAAGCAATGCTCCAATATTTCATAAGTTGCACTAATCACAAACTGAATAAATCATGAATATCTAGTCCGTAATTCAGCAGAGTTAAGAGACAAATTCAAATTTGCAGAGAATCCCAAGCCCAATTTCATTTCTTGACTTCCAGATGTGCACACGCTTCTTCTTGCAACATGACTCTCATATCCACAAATTAAACAATCTCAAAAACAGATAAGTTCTCAAGGTTATCCTGCTCACACACGTGCATTTGTCATTCGTGACATCCAAACACATGCATTTTTTCCTGTATCTGACAGAATTTGCTCATGTTTAATTTACGATCACAAAGAATGAGTTGCCTAAATCCTCTAGTATCAACCCAGCTTCTCATTTGAGCTTTTCATTCTTCATATTACCAAAAAAAATAATAAAAAATCCTCGAGTATCTTCCAAGTCCTTAAGAGAGAGAGATGCTGAAATAGCCAATACAAATTCATACCTTCAAAGAAGGTTCACCAGCATTCTACATTCATATTTGTTCTTTCCAGATCTAAATTAAAGTTCTCATCTCATTGGCAAAGCCTACTCATTATATGGATGAATTATACATCTAAGAACCTGGATAATATTTCACATTTTCTAAATAAATACTCAGTAGAACACATACAGGACAAACAACCCCTCTTTTTCACACAATGGAAACAATGTAGATTAATGCACTTTGAAATACTACTTGTCATGTCATAATTAACTTAAATTGGAAATCATAGATGTCACTAACATTCAACTCAAATTAATCAAATAGTCGAAATGGAAGGAATAATTGATAGAATAAAAAACCTTAGTAGTATTCAGGTCTGTTATGTCAAACTTCGCTTTTTTCTGGATAGCCTTTCGCATGAATTGGATTGCAAACTTTACCTGAAAACAAGTAAAACAATAAAAGTCAAGGTCTCGGGAGAATAATACTCATGATTCTAAGGCTTTAACAAAATTGTGTGCAATCATTCGTCACCTCAAAGCATTAAGAAGCACAACTGGACATAGATAATCTACAGAAACCATCACTATCCAACTATCTTGACTCCTAAAGAACACTTATCAATATTATAAATTAAGAAGTGGTGATTTGATCACAAATAGTACTTTCAATAGGACAGTTGCTGCAGTGGGGTCACAGTAACAAGCATCCAAGCATCTTTACTTCATATATGTCCTTGCAACACTAAAATTTGTACAGTATAACAAAATCTATAGCACTATTTCTATGTCTTGCTCAGTTTTTGACAATCAAACAAAAGAGGTACAGACCTGTATATCAACAAAATAAAAAATTGATATACTGCGGCACAATTTATCACTCACAGTGAATTTCGGTAACCGAATCTTATAGGTATCCACAAGTTCCATCATCAGGTCAACCAAATCAGAGAAAGGGCTGTCGAGAACCATTCCTGCGATAGAAGGATCTTCTGCTCCATACAATAGGCTGTGATAGACAATGGTTATTGTTAGTGGCCAATATTTATGCAGAAGGCATCAGCTTTATAGCAGATGTATAAATATATGATATTACCTAATACTGGACAAAAAAAGAAGGCACCAAAATTTAGAAACCTTTATTCTTAATAAACAAAATGATTAAAGAAATAGCACTTTGTTTGTTTGGCATATTAATGTGCATGACTTTAGAAAGTAATGAATCTCAATTTATGTAGAAGGTTGTGACCACAAAAGATGGAGACACAGACTGCCTTCAGAATAAGCATACTAATATAAAGAGTATTGCATCCCCCAGCCTAAGGTATCAGGTTGGCTATTACAAATTCAATCACTTGAGAATAATGCAATCTCCTTCATTCACTTACACAAATGTTTTCAAAAGATATGATCATCTTATACTTGTAAATCTTTCAAAGATATCCATGATCAAAGTCAAAGCCTCAACCCAGGGATCCAGGGAATCCTCATAATCATCCTTATCCGACCCCTGAGGGAAACTATAATAGAGCTTCCCTTTACACAACAGCTTGCTCAAGAAATTCACTATATACAACGCAGTATGTTTTTTCATTGTCTGAATATTTTCAGAAATGAGTCAACCCAAGCTAGGTTTTTCAGCTAACATCTTTTAAATGGTAAATACTTTGTCAACAAACTTTGACTTAAAGAAGTAGATGACATAAAAAGATAGAATCTTTGTGAAGTTGCAGACAGAAATAGATTTGGTTTACATCGTCATAAGGAGGACAACAGAAAGGAATATGAAGAAAAAAACAATCCAGCCTGTGGCAAGTAAACCTTTTGTTCTAGGCAAGGCTCAAATGATGGGTTGGTTTGGGGAGACAGAAAGAGGATGGAACCACATTTAAACCCAACTTTTTTGTTACAAACCGATGAAGCCTTCAAACTAAAATGATTACTAGTCTTTTTGTCTTTGTTAACTAAACCTTTATTTAACTCAAACTGAACACTCACAAGTAGACTCACATCAATTAAGAAAACAAAAGTCCTATATTATTCTAGCATAATTTTAGGGGCTGTATGAAATAAGAGTAGTGATTGGACTATTTTGGTAGCCAGGGTCAATCAACATAATTCTGGTAGGCTTTTGGCGCTAAGAAACAAATATTCTCTATAAAAAGTATACAAGAGTGGACAAAATGTCCATATAAAAGGACAAGCTGTCCCTAAACCCTAGGGTTCATAGAACAAAACAAAATGAAAAGACTTCTCCTGTTTCAAAATCTTCAACACTAAAAATCCCTACGCAGATTTGCATAAAAAATTTCCTTAGCTAAGGTAATACTGGGAGGCTTTTTAGGGTTTCCCAACTGAATTCAACATAAAATTGAACACTTGTAGAAATAGATTTACCACAATTAACTCGATTAATGTCCAAAACTTTCACCTTTTTTTTCCTGGTAGATGAACTAATGCCCTATATGATTCACACACATTCCTAAAATTTGTATTAATGAACTTCACTATTTCAGCACAAGTAATAAAAACAAGTCTACACACAGATTTAGTATATGCCAGCTTAGAGGAAGGTAAAAGTGCATGAAGAAAACCTAGTGACAGCACCCATTGAACGACCCCACAAGCCAATTAAAGAGACATTTCCATCTGCCCGCAAAAAATCTACCGCGGCTTTCAGATCATCCTTCTGAAAAAAGGAAAAAGAATGTTAGATAATATTAACTAATGGAGAGTAGAAATCACCAAGAAACAAACTGGTAATCTAGTGTGAAAAGGGACTAGATACACCATAAGGCAGTGAGAACATAATATATTACCACGGGTTTTCCAAAAAACTAGTCAAGTGTAACTCTGAGAGCAGATAAAAAATAATTTCTGTTGATTATTTATTTTTCAAATACAAATGAAATTAGAAAATAAAAGATCCCCATTTTCCAAACACAATCATGCATGAAAAAGAGATAACAGTTTTATCTCTCTGGTTACACTGTATTTGCAGTCAATATGTCAAAGATTTTACTTCTGAGGGGCAACAAATTTGTTAAAATGAAACCTTGGGTTTAGTGGCAAAAAGAAACTATAGAAACAGATAAAACACTCACGAGACAGAATAATTTATCTTATATAACAGATCCATATACAAGGGTAAAAGCCAAAAAACATGAGTTCCCAACCAACTCCCCATACTCCAAGCTCCAACAAGCACTCAGATAATATGGGAAAAGTGGTCTTCATGATACAAAAGCAATAAATATATAGATTGAACACATATAAAGAGCTCTCTACATCATTAATTTTTTTTTTTTTTCTCTAAAAGCAACTTATATAGGCATTTCTTTCAGCTAGTTAGTCAGCCACTTACTTCATTCCACCCTAAAGTGACATGTTCTCCTCCAGAGAGTCCAGATCCTGAGAAATCAAGGGTGAAAACTGAAATATTTGAAGGCAGCAATATTATAGCAGCTTCACTAGCATCAGCCCTGCAACCACTACCAAAAATGAAGATATATTCCCAATTAGCATTCTGTAACTAGAGCCCAAGTGTCTAACAAGACAATTTCAGTAAATAAGGGGCAAAGAAACCCAGGGGTTCCTTTTCTAATACAGATTACAGTCATACTTTAATGCACAAACTTCTGAAATGTCTACTGGAGAACTAATATAATTTTTATGAAAATAGTTAACAAACAAAAACTTAACATCTTATAATATAATTCTTTAGTCACCTGTTTCCATGACAGTAAATAACACAGGGTAGAGGCTTTCCTTCAGGACTAACAATTGGCACATAGTGACTACATTTTAGAACATCCCCTCGACTGTTTTTAACCTGAAGAATGTTGAAAGCTCCTTACATGTAAGACTGAAAAAGAAATTGGAGTTTTCAAGCTTAAAACATAATACATTTGACCTAGAACATTACCTCTACATCCTTTCTTTGGTACCACTTCCCTTTCAGCATGAACTCTTGATCCAACAAATCATGGTCTGGATGGTATTCAGCTCTGTGCCATTAAAATAGAGAGTCTCACAATCTCTTTATGTGGATAAAGCATAGTTTAGAATATGTCAAACTTAAAAAGTAAGATAATAAACTACTAAGCTAATAAAAGTTCTGAGAGTCAGAGAGCTGATTTTTTAAGAAGTCCCTCATATTATCTCATCTCACATCTTGTGAAAGGTGCATATAACTTACATAAATTGGCAGCAATGCCAAAAGAGTGCATCAATTCAATCAAGCTTCATGTTCTCCAAGAAAACTCTGGTCATTCTCAGTGCTAAAAACTATCTTATGTTCTAAAAGAAAGGAGTATAAGTAACAACCTTGGAACCCAACAATGCATCATGATTATAGGTACTCCATCACCACAATATGACACATCTAAACAAATTGGTTTTAGAGAACATGATTTATAACAATAAGAACAGTTTGATTTTAGCCGATACTCATAAATTTCGAGATCACAATCACAAACACAAGATACTACTACAATCTCAAATCTGCCACAAAAAGTTGATAAAGTAGATGAAATTCATTTCCAACTGTTTCTAGGTTAACTACCAAGCTAACAACTGTCAAAGAGGACTCATTTCTATTATCTTTCCTTTCATTATCACATTAGATGCACCAAACTGAAGGGAAAAAATAACTAAGTCCACACAAAGAAAGAAGAAAAAGGCCCCAGGTATCACATGTCAACCCCATAATATCCCACTCAAATTAATACTAAAACTTCATAACAACAAGATCAACACCCAAAAATAAAAACCCTGGAACAAAACCAAAAATTAGAAAATTACTACTCAGTAACCATCAATTAACTCAAAAAGAATTCAGATATTTAGAAATCCAATCAAAGTGGATAAAAAAGCTAATTTGACTAAAATTATTCAAAATCAACTAGAATTTTAAATTAATCCCCTGTTTGGTGAGTAAGAAAACGGTTGAAAGTAACAATAAAATCGTATCTGAAATCTTATGCTCTATGTTGTACAATTTCTCCAAAGACCCGGGTAACAAAAACACCAAGATTCATGTCCTAAGTTTAAAATTTTTCCCCGTCCTAAGAACCTATTAGAATTCACAGATAAACAATGAAATCAAAGGCGGAAAATTGATTACCTGGGTGGCCGAATTATAAAGTTGACAAGCTGCTCCATGGAAGAGATTCAAAAGGATGATAAGAAAATGATTTTTTTCCTTCTCTCAAGTCCCTTTCTTTGTCTCTCTCTTAGCTGTGCTCTTCAGTTCTTTTACGAATATAATAATATATTAAAAAATAATATGAATAACAGTGGAAGATCGAGATTGAAGAAAGAAAAACAAAGAAACACAGAATCTTCTTCTTCCGTGTGTAAAGATGCTATTGTTTAGACAAAGAAGGAGAAGCAGCAGCGAAAGAAGAAGAAGAAGAAGAAGAACCGGCCTATGTTAATCTTGTTTTTGTTTTTGTTTTCGTTATTTTCGTTGTCGCCGTTTCCATTTTCTGTTTGTTTCTTTGCAAACAAAAGCTCATTTTTTCTTCTTTTCTTGGCTCTCTAACCCATGTCTGCTGTCTCTCTCTGCTTATCTGGCTTCATACACACGTATGAGACTCTCTAACTTCAACTTCGTTCCTCCCACACGTGAGGGTAAATCCCACACGTGTTGATGGCTCGATATTGGGCTTCTTATTTTTAGTCGGCGCAAAAAGGCCGAATTAAGTCCATTCCAATTTCAACTGGCTTTCACAGTTTACAAATGGAGCTTCATGATAAAGTTTGAAGGGCTAGATATTGTGAACGCTTCACAATGAGTATCAAAACATTAAGTAAAAACAAAATAATCCTCACGTCTATGACTAGATATTAGATTTCTTTTTGAATTAAGTCTAAATATTACTCCATCAAATTTATTCCAGTTTCAACTCTGTTTCACTTCACCTCTTGTGGCCAAATGACAAACCCTTTAGCCACTATGGTTAACTATATCCAGGGGGTCTTATATTCAAGTATAATTACCTTGATCAATTAGGTTTGTATAGTGTTCTAGGACCCTAAGGATTAGGCAGGTTCCGATGTGAGTATGGATACCTCACTTACCTAAAAAAAAAACTATGGCTGTGTTTGTTTTGTTATTTTGGATAGGATTTTTGAAATAGTATTGGTAGGTAGAGTTGGGTGATTATTAAGAGGTAAAATTTAAAAATTAACAAAAAAACTTTTCTAAGTTTGCTAAATTAACTAAACACCCCAATATATAAATGTTTTATAAAATGACAAAAACACCCCATCCACCCACAGTGCCAGATTCCGATAACTACCATCGAAATCTGGTCGGAATCTGGCATTACGGCACACGATCGGTCGGATCTGGCCGATCATGTGTTGATCTAATCCATCACGGATTTGGCAGGAAAAGTCCAGATCTAGGGCTAGATCTGACCGTCAACGACGGTGAAAAATATGGCCGTCGTTGACTGTCAATGAAGGTTATTTCTTTAGCCATGGCTGACGGCCAGATCTGGCATTTTTCAGCTAGATCCACTGTGAATCTGGTCGAAAAATGCTAGATAGGTGCATTACCGGCCGTTAGTGCGCCGTCGTGACAAATTTTGACCACCACCGATAGTGGTTGCCTGAATCTGGCAACTATGGGTGGGTGACGGTGTTTTTGTTAATTTATAAAAAATTTTGTTAGGGGTGTTTTTGTCAATTAACCAAACTTAGACAGGTTTAAATAGTTTTTTAATTTATGATAGGATTTTGAAAATAGGGAAATAAACATGCATTTGTATTTGGAATAGGGATAGAATAGTGATAAATAATGAAACAAATGAACCTAAGTTTCCTAGTTCATAAAATGGAGCTTTATGATGAAACTTGAATGCCCATCTAATTGGTGAATATTCTATGAATAAAGCATTTGATGAAAATTGTAGTATAAACTAGTTTATGTAGGGGTTAGATTAGGAGAAGAGTCAATTTATGGTGGGAATATAAAGTCAGGGGCTTGGTATTTGACATTTACAATGGGGAACAAAAAGTATGAAGGTGTCTGGTGGGCTTCTAAGTGTAGAAAAATAAAAGGGCAGTGCAATGATACCAACTCATCACCACTTTCTTAGAAATTTATGATGTGAAATAACACCCACCTCGCCAAATAAGGTTCTGTCATCATTCATCAACACAAATATAAAAATAATTATGCAAATTTAATAACGTTCCCATTAATGTAGCACACCAAATGTCCAAAAATCTTTGAGGAATCAATTCTAGACCGCTTAAATTGTTTTCAGTGTACTAGGCTTTTTAGTTTGAGGTGGAATTCTTTTTTTTTTTTTAACATGGTGTAAGCCTTCAATGGCCACCTTATAGGGATTGAGATAGATCAAACTAAGACCTTTTAAATAATAACCCAATAATCTTTGTTGACTTCGATCACTAGTGGTATAATGGCTTATGAATCAAGACTACTATAAATGGGGCGTTGATTTGCGGTTATGTGGAATTACTAGGTTTATGTCATCTTACATTACTCGATTATCACGTTTGGTTGTCAGTAATATAATATTTCGGTAATCTTCAAATACCAATAGTAGTTACTGTTGGTAATATTGGAGGTAATCTTATAACTTCATTTTCTTAGGTATTGTAAGATACCTAGTAATTTTTTTTTGTTATAATTATATCCCTATTAATATAATTTTAGGAGATAATACTCTTATTTTTAAATTTATTATATAAATCTTGCTTTTCCATTTCACCCCAATTAATTAACTTTTGGACAAAATTATCTTTGAAACCAAAACAAATTTCAGCTTACCCAAGCCACCATCATCACCTGCCGCCAGCAAACCATCGCGGCCACCACGTGAAGTCGTTGGAGATCGCTGGAATGCCTTGAATCGTCGAGAGACACCGAGAGGCTCCAATATGCCTTTTCTGGCCATATTAATGGCCAAAAGGCACATCAGAGCAGATCTGGCCGTTACTGGCCATATTTGAATGAGATATGGCCGTTAAGGGCCATGGATCTGGCCTTTTACGACCAAATCTATTTTGGTCTCAACATCTCCGTTGTTGCTCTATCATGTCTCCTCTGCCTCAATCTCCTCCGATCTCATTTCCACCATTGACGAAGAGCCAAGGTTGCTCGATCTAAACGGTGCATTTTCCAGCTTCTTTTGGCGACTCATGATAGCGGATGGCAATGGCGGGCAGTGGTGTGTGGTACGGGTGATTTTGTTATAATATAAAGTTTTATATAAGTGCGGTGTTTTAGCTAAATCTGAAAGTTGGGGGTTAAAAGAAATTATTCGAAAATTAATAATAAAAATAATATATATTAATATTTAAAAGAGGGTAATTAGGTAATTTACTAATATACCCACTAATTATTCTCTCAATCAACATATTAATTTAACATACCACAAATTTATTCTAGCTAACCAAACAAATTTTTCTAAAGATTCCCAGGAATCTTCAAGGTAATCTAACTTTTCAGTAATTCAATATGTTCTGAATCAAACGCGCCGAAGAGAAGTCTATGTGTCTGTTTTTTTGTTGCTGGATTTTCTTTCCTGGAAATGGTGTTGCATTTTGCTTGTTTTCTTTTGAGTGGCTTCAAGTTTTTTTCTGCTCCACGTGGCTGTACTTGGTCCTTTTTTGAGTTTCTTCTTGGGATTATTCTCTTATATTTTAACTCAATATCTGGCTAAACACAACATTGACCAGCCAATCCCCCATAGCCTTAATCAAATATTTCAACCTGTTGGGTAGGAATCTCATCAATCCGAAGCCTGCTAGTTTTGGGTTTGCAATAGGAACAGTTCAAAATGCATATAAAAAAACCAACGTTTAATAGGTTTCAATTGACTTGTTAATCTAAATAATTCCATGGATACAAAACAGAATATTGTATAGTTCTTTGTACATATAGTATTACCCAAACAGAATACTAAAAACAAATATTCAGCCACTAGATTTCAGATCAAAGATCAGAATAAAGCATTTAAACATGTGCATCTCTAAAACAAGGCCTCTTAATTCTTATCCAGTGGTCCCAAAAGTGCGAATTGTCTTAGTCTCCAACCACCATTCTCAAGCATGCATGGGATACTTACTACAAGAAATGAATATTCAGTACCAAAGCTCAGGCAACCCACATTCATCATCAACCAAAAAGCATATAAAAACACAATTTGAGTGTAAGCAAAGTGTTGGGGCAAATCAATCTTATTAATTTTATTAATAAACTTTAATGTTATTCACTGGAATCAAAACAACATATGCCAAAGTGTGAAGACTTCAAAGCACGACACTCTTCATAACCCCATGTTCTTTCTTGTTCAAAGAAGTATTGTTAAATGCGATTCCAAGGCTTAAACCAACATTGAAACTATGAATTATTTTTTTTTTATTCCAAAGTCAAGAAAATACAGGGAACCAATCTTAGTTGTCGTGTTACTATAGGGGCGGAGGAGGCAGAAAAGGAGAAGCTGGGAGCCTTATCTTAAAATATTAATATGGTCCAAGCTTCTCTTGGAGTCACTAAAGAGACCAAGAACTATTTTCCTCCACTCATAGCTCACCCCTATCTATATGGGAAAAGCCAACAAAACTTTTTGATATCAACCTCTATTATTTTAAGACCTGGCACCAAAAACAACCATTTGAGTCTTTCTCTTATTCTGTCAAGGCAAGCTTGGAGATCATCATTTTGGTTGCTCTTCAAGACACTTCTGGCGGCTCTCAGGTTAGTTCTTTGTCAACTTCAGTATATTTCATGACAATGGCTGTGGTTAGTGTGTGAAATTGGGCAAAAAGTGTAAAAAAACTGGTACAGTTGGTGATTTATTATATACCTGCAACCAACTGAATCTAGCATTTATTTTAGTTTCTAGATATCCCCAGAATGTGATTCTTCATTTTCTTTGACATGTTCAAGTGTTAAAAGTCATTTATGAGAATTGAGCTCAGGTGCTGGTAGAATCTTCTTGAGACACACAATGCTTTTCATTCACCTCGAGAATCACTTCCAACATTTCATTTATATCAGTTATCAGTTTCTTGTTTTGTTTGATCCTCCAGGACTGTCATCCAGCTAGCATCGGTGTACAGTAACTTTCAGTTTTTATATTTTATCTTTTAATGAGAAACAACAAGCACACATGCATGCACTACACCCTTGAGGCCCACTGAAATATGATAAGATATAAAGCCAAGAAACGGAGTAAACAATCAGCCAACTGGCCTTCCACTTATCAACTGCATAGCCAACTGCTGTGTGTATATCATCACTTCTTTCCACTTGTCATCAAATGTGGCAGAAACTCTATATTTCTCTCATTTAATTTATTTTTCTCTTTTTTGTAAAGTATCCTTTTGTTTATAAAAAAAGTATTTTTTACACAAAAGTGAACTGGAAGGCCTGGCCTCTTCAAATGTATTGAACTAATAAATCAGTTTCATTTTGACAGCTTCTTATCACCAAAAGCCAAAAGTGGTTGCACACTAAGACAATAAATTTGATTACTTATGATGATATAACCAAGAAATCAGTAACTGACATTAATTTGATATGATAAGTTGTGTGGAGTGAAATAGTGAAAGGGCAACACTTACAAGTATATTCCTTTAGCATCTTAGTTCAAAATGACACTTCACTCATTTTAGTCTGCAGCCATTGTTTGTTTCGTGTAAGGCTAAGCTCTTCTCTGTTACATCGTGTGCATGTGAACTTGTACTTCTTATGTTCTTAGTTACTAAAAGAAGAAAAAAAAAAATTGTATATAACTAGTCTTGTTTTATTAAGAAATTGAAATAAAAGTTCAATGAGACCTGGATGTTTTTGGTTTTTCAAGCTTTAAGTTGTTGAGCATTAGTTGTTTAAATTTTGTAGGGGAGTAGGTGGAAATGGCACAGATTTTGGCACCTTCGACGCAATGGCAGATGAGCATGCCAAAGACCTCAAACCTTGCAAGTTCCATGACCACAAAAATGTGGAGTTCTCTGTTGCTGAAGCAGAACAAGAAAGCAGCGGCCAAAAGTACTGCTAAATTTAGAGTGCTCGCTGTGAAGTCTGAAAACAGCACTATCAATAGGCTGGAGAATCTACTAAATTTGGACATCACTGCATACACAGATAAGATCATTGCTGAATACATTTGGTACAGCTTCTTGCTAATATATGTTTCTAAAATGCATATTTAGCTCTTTCTAAGACTCTTCGGTCATTTTCTTTCAGCATTGGCATAATGATCCTTTGTAATGCTAACTCACTTTGAAACAGGATTGGAGGTTCTGGGATCGATTTGCGTAGCAAGTCAAGGGTAATATGATCTTAATATTAACTTACAAGAATAAAAAATGAAGCTTCTCAACATTTCATTTAACATGTAGTGCTCTTCCTCGTGTCTTTAACCATTGATATTTCTGATATGCAGACAATCTCAAAGCCTGTTAAACATCCATCTGAGCTTCCTAAATGGAATTACGATGGATCAAGTACTGGACAAGCACCTGGTGAAGATAGTGAAGTGATTCTATAGTAAGATCTTGTGAGATGGAACTGTTTTTATATTTCTGCTTATCATCACAAGAACGTTTTTAATTGAATCCTTTATCCAGCCCTCAAGCTATTTTCAAGGACCCTTTCCGTGGAGGCAACAACATCTTGGTAAATGTCATTCAGTTTTAAGTAAACAGAAATAGATTTTAGGATTGGTTTGACTTTCTATTATTGATACAAAAAGTTATACTGCCTTTTGATGTTATGTTATATGTTTTGCAAGGTCATTTGTGATGCATACACGCCAGCAGGCGAGCCCATCCCTACAAACAAACGCCACAAGGCTGCTCAGATTTTCAGTGACCCAAAGGTGGTGGCTGAAGTTCCATGGTATGCATTTTTCATTTATCTTTGATCTTCAAGTTTAATTTCCATTCTTGATAATTAAATATGTCTCATCATGTCATAACCTAAATATTTTCACTTCTCTTTCACTTTGATTCTACCACTGTCAAATATGCAGTTTTTGAAACTGATTACTGTTTGTTTCGTACATAGAGATTATTATTGCGACACTTATTTATTCATCATTAAACTTTTAGGTTGTAATATAAAATTTCTCTTATGTCCTATAACTTTTATGTTAGGTATGGGATAGAACAAGAGTACACCTTACTTCAAACAAATGTGAAGTGGCCCTTGGGTTGGCCTGTTGGAGGCTATCCAGGTCCTCAGGTAATGAGTTGTTCACAATCATTAATCATATAATACAGTAATGTACAAAAGCTCAGGATAAAAAACATTTTGGTGCATGATTCTTATATGTTTTCAGGGTCCTTATTACTGTGGAGCTGGGGCTGATAAGTCGTTCGGCCGTGACATTTCAGATGCTCATTACAAGGCTTGCTTATACGCTGGCATTGACATAAGTGGCACCAATGGGGAGGTTATGCCAGGCCAGGTTTACCTCTTATCCTTTGGTTTTTCTTTCTTGTCCATGGACTTCAGTATCATCACAATCATGTTAATTTTGTTCATTCATTCTTATTTAATCTTGCACCTATTTTGCAGTGGGAATATCAAGTAGGTCCCAGTGTCGGCATTGACGCTGGAGATCACATCTGGATTTCGAGATACATTCTTGAGGTAACTCTTCTACATAGTTTCTTTGGTACTACATAATAACTATTTAGTTGAAGAATGATCTTAATGGCAAAAACGTTCCATTTCGGAAATATACTCTGTGCTGCAATCTACTAGTGTGCTTCACAAAATGTGTTGACAATGAAAATTTTTGATGTAAAACTTTTTATAGCCTGTCTTCACAATGTTTCTGATTAAAAACCCCTTCAAATAACTTGAATAGAAATTCAAGCTGAACATGATATAGCAGCTTACAGCAAACTAGCATTCTCGAAATGTATCCTAAACAGATTGAATACATAAAAATTAATCATGTGCTTATGATCAACGTATTTCTATACTGAATGATTCTGTTTCTCCTCTGTTTTGACAGAGAATCACAGAGCAAGCCGGTGTTGTTCTCTCACTTGATCCGAAACCGATAGAGGTAATATAATCTTCATCAACTTCAGTTCTTGATATTTCTCAACGCTGATCACACCTTTACTTGATGTTAACAGGGTGACTGGAATGGTGCTGGATGCCACACCAATTTCAGGTATTTGGAAAGTCATAATATTGTAGATAAAAATAACTTTTGGTTAAATCGAGCATTAGTAATAGCTCAATTGTTGTGGCTTACAGTACCAAGTCTATGAGGGAAGATGGAGGGTATGAAGCAATAAAGAGGTCAATCTTGAATCTGTCACTTCGCCATAAAGATCATATTAGTGCATATGGTGAAGGAAATGAAAGAAGATTGACAGGAAAGCATGAAACAGCCAGCATCGACACATTTTCTTGGGTATGCTCAGAAGATAACCATTTCTTTCTTTTCCTTTAAAGTCCAAGAGAAAAATTAGATGAAAGAAGTTATCTACTCAAGTTGTTTATGAAGTGTATCTTTTCACCATTCAGGGGGTGGCTAATCGTGGTTGCTCAATTCGTGTGGGACGTGACACTGAGAAACAAGGCAAAGGTACTATGCTCAATAACACCATGAGTTTTTATTTTAAATAGTAGGGTGAAGTGGGGATGTTTTTTTGAACTTTTACTACACATTGATCACACAATATCAACTGTTTGTGACAGCATTTTATAGTGCTGCAAAGAGGGGAATAGGCTTTCATTCTTTTGATCACTTTAAATGATTCAAATTTCTGGTTTGAAGTTCAAACTTAAATAAATCCAATCCATATAGTCTATGACCTTATTATAAAAAGATTTTTCCTTGAAACAAGATTTGTTAACATGAATAGTGAAGATCCTGTGAGTAAAATCTGATGTTTTCAAAAAATTTCTGTAGGTTTTATTACATGTTTTCCTCTAAAGTAACTCAAATATATTTTCTCAATGATTTTCAAAGACTCCAATTGTGGCTTTTGTAAATTTTGGGTATGACTTCTAACCTTAAGCATCACCTCCACTGATGATCCACTTCTTGGTGCTGCCCATGGTTTTGTATAGGTTACTTAGAGGATCGGCGTCCAGCTTCAAACATGGACCCTTATGTTGTGACCTCATTACTGGCAGAAACCACATTATTGTGGCAGCCAACACTTGAGGCTGAAGCTCTAGCTGCTCAGAAGCTGGCGTTGAATGTCTGAGGTTGGTTAAACATCAACTGAAGGAACTCATAAAGCAATCTCTTGGATTTAAAAAGCCGATGCATGGGGGAGTTTTTTTTTTTTAGTTGTTAGAGAGAGTCCTGTAAATAAAACGTCCAAGAGTCAGTGGTTCTACCTGCTCAAGATTGGAGAATGGTTTCCCAGATGGAGGACGGTCTGTGAATCAGATGTGTTCACAGTTGGTTTCAATTTATGCACTACTTGGATGCTTGCACCATTAATTTTCTTTCATACCTTTGTTTGAATGGCTTCTTCTATTAGCATTTTATGTCCATCAGTTTTGCAATACCATTATGCATTTCATTACTTCAGTCACTAATTTAAGCCCCAAAATAAATAAATAAAATACAAAAAAGACACTGCTAGTTTTGGGAGGGAAATTCCCGAATTTCTCAATAATCTACTGCTAAAATGTGTTTCTGCTTGTAGTGAATTTTGTCTTGAGATTCTTATTCATTAATTTTTATCAATTGGCTCTGTTTTGTTTTCATTGCCAAGAAGGTAGGAAACAGTAGAAAGAATGGAGTAAGAGTAGTCTTATCAAAAGCAAAATTTTGGAAACAATAGAGAGGCACTTTATTCCTTTGTTTTGATTGCATAGAAAGAAAGGTTTATTCCAGACCATGAAAGGGATGCTTCCCGGAGTTTACAAAGAAACCAACCAACCCCACTTTTGGGAACTTCAATTCAATTAATTTCTTCTCCTTCACGTTTTCAAGCCAATTAATAAGGGTAAGGAATCAATGCCATATCTTTGAACTGAAGATATGCTATTCATGAACAAAAAGATTCAATGGAAAAGCGTATCAGTTTCTGAATAGGGAAGAATATATCTTCCCTTATATGTTTCTCTGAGCTTAAGGAAAATAACCCAAATCAAATTTCTCTTCATATTTTCAGCCTCAAGGAAAGCCATGGCTTCTGGAGTATCCAAATCTGCAGCCTTAATTCTCTTACTCCTTAACCTTGGTCTGTATTTTATTGTAACAATAATTGCTTCATGGGCTGTTAATCGTGGAATTGAAAGATCTCGTGAAACAGGTAATTCAGATAACTGAACACCAAAGAATCAGTTACTAAACCATAGATCATTTGACATATTGATGCTATTGTTACCTCTGTGCAAATGCAGTATCCGTTCTATCACTTCCAGCTCGTATATTTCCAATATATTTTCCTTTCGGAAACCTGGCAACCGGATTCTTCGTCATTTTCTCCCTCCTTGCCGGTGTTGTCGGCATGTCCACCTCAATCACAGGCCTCAATAACGTCCTGCAAGGGGATGTTCCCAACTTAAATGCAGCTGCTGCCTCTTCTCTGATAACTTGGTCGCTCACTCTGCTAGCCATGGGGTAAGTAAATTTAACTTGTTCTATCAATTTTTTGTCATAATTCCTGGTTTTGACTGGATGTGCACCACCACTTTATAATGTTTCTTTCATTATTCCTACTGCAGATTGGCATGTAAAGAGATTGATCTCGGGTGGACAGATTCAAACTTGGTAAGCTATCAATATGATAACTGAACTGTCTTAATAACAAGAGGCTTCTCTTGGACAATAAATTAGCTGCTAGTATATTATATTGGTTGAAAGCAAATATTGACACTTCCCACTGGGGTGCAGCGTACTCTAGAAGTTATGACGATAATCGTGAGCGCTACACAATTGTTCTGCACGGGCAGTCTCCATGCCGGGGTTGAAGATGCTGCTGCTTGGCAGAGGGGCCAGGGGAGATATTGAGCTTCCGATTTGATTCAACCCTGCTTAATGTATTATTCTATATTTATCAAACATGTAGGCTTGTATTCTGAGTGGTTCATTTCTTTTAGGCTTTGTGGATGGAGTGTGTGTAAAGCTCCTGAGCATTTTCAGTTCATGTAATTCTTCACAGATCATTTATATTATGTTTTAAAAATATTTAAAGGGTTTATTGAATTAACGTAAGAATAATAACGGATATATATATACACATGATAGCGTTGCTCTGAAGTGTAAGTATATTCCCGCCAAAGCACAACAGACTGTACAAACTGTAAAAAGAGAAATTTTTTATACTTTACTCTATCTCTCGTTATCAACAAAATATGCCCATGAATTGCACGCAGTGTACGACTCCATCCATCGTCCCTCTGTCCTCAAACCCTAAAATTTTGTTTCCATCTTCTTCTACTCAAATTCTTGCACCAAATTGCTCAAACCCTAGATTGTTCCTTTCACTGAGCAAAATCCCTAATGGGATTTTACTGAAGAGAAGAGATGTTGTAGTGAGAACTTCACAGCACCACAATAACAATGATAATGAAAGCGTTAAATGGCTGAATTGGTTACCCACTGGAGGTTTTGCGGCTGATAACGTTTTCAGGTTGATTTCCTCCACCACCGCCAGTCCCATTTACCAGTTTATTGCTTCGCCTTCCACGTTCTTGCACTCTGTGGACCCCAGAATCAAATTGGTGATTTTTAGTTTTAGCCGAAATTTTGGCTTTTTGGGTTATTCTTTGGTTGGTTGTTGTTGTCACTTTATGGGCTTTGTTCGTTAATGTTTAAGAATCTGTGGGTCTGTTCATGAAATGATTTTTATATTTAGGGAATTCATCTATCGGGTTATGACTGTTTCTTGCTGTTTTAGTTTTTCTGGAGTGGAGACTGCAACAGCATGTAGCTTAGGGATCATAATTTCTCTGTTTTATCTGCAAACAAAGAGAGGTTTAGGAAAAAAAATCATGATTTCTTTGAGTATCAGTTTCTCGTTATCGGCAGTGAATTTGGCCCAGGTTTTACAGAGAGCAATTATCACTTAACAATAAATTTCAAGGCAGTGCCTTGAAGTTTTAGGACATTAGGAGTTGATTGAGGACAAGGAGATGAAATTATGTTCACCAAGGTTTTATGTTTAATTTAAACATCCAATATAGATTCACCCAAAGTTTTCTGTCCGTCTGTTCTCAAAATTGGCTCAAGGATTTGGCTTTTTATGGTAGAATGTCGTATCATAGAAAGGTAGTTTCACAAAGTTCTCATTGTAAATGAGATTTTAATCTTTTGTAATAAGAAAATTAAGACATGTGCAAATATATATTTGGTTATAGTTTCTTATCCAATACAAAAGCAACGATTTCTAATTTGAATGCCCAATCATTTTGATTATTCAGGTATGGCTCTTGGCTCTAGTTGTCTTACCAGCAAGGTCGCATATAATAATGCGAGTTGGATTAGTCATATACACAAGTCTTCTGTCAATATGGATCCTTCCGAAACACGTGTGGATGGTAAGTATAGTAATTAGATTTTAACTACAGAGAGTTCAATGTGGTTGGATAAAGCTGAGTCCCCATATACAACTTTCTGACATTGATTTCTTGCGTTGCTTGATGAAGTTTGCTAGACTAAACTTTTATAATATGGCTCCCATTGTTCATGAAGAAAGAAAAAAGGTGGAGTTTTTTGCAAGTAGATCTGGCTTTTTATGCTTGATTGCTTTGCTGTTTGTAAACTTTTGCTGCTTACCGGATGAGTTTTTGAGTTAAGAAAAAGTATTTTGTGTTGGACAAGTTGGTACATGTTGGGTGGTTGGATCGAAATAACTAGTATAAGTTGTTGAGATCTGCAGTCTATTGCGCTAGGTTGAATTTATGTATAATGTAGAGCAAAAAATATATTTGCAGTCTATTTTGCTTTGATGAATTTATGTATCATGCAGAGCAAAAAATATGTCTGTAGTCTATTGCGCTTGATTGAATTTATGTATAATGTAGAGTGAAAAATATTCTTTCTCTAGACTGTATACCTTGTTAATCAATGGCTCCAACATATGCTGTTTTAGATGTTACTTTTTTATGTCATTTACCAGCAGATCCATACTTCAATAGTGATCTCATCATATTTATGTAGTTATATTTGAATTTCTTGGACAATGTGGTAATGTTGCATATCTTCAACTTNTGATTAATCCCAAATCACTCAAGAACCCACAGATTACAAAAGAATCAGACCCAAAGAACGAACCCTAGGTTTTACAAGAAAACGAAGACTGCTCTCACTCAATCGTTATTCGATACACTGTTACCAAATGAAACCCTAAACCTTTTATAGTGTTGACTTCAGGCAAGATCTCAGCCGTTGGCTCCCCTTCTGAATTTGCGGTCAGGATCACTCATGGGCTGTCCCTAAAACGACGCCGTTCCATTTAACACAATACGATGCCGTTTCAGCATTCACTTTACAACATATTATGTTTAAAAAATATTTAAAGGGTTTATTGAATTAACGTAAGAATAATCACGGATATATATATACACATGATAGCGTTGCTGTGAAGTGTAAGTATATTCCCGCCAAAGCACAACAGACTGTACAAACTGTAAAAAGAGAAATTTTTTATGCTTTACTCTGTCTCTCGTTATCAACAAAATATGCCCATGAATTGCACGCAGTGTACGACTCCATCCTTCGTCCCTCTGTCCTCAAACCCTAAAATTTTGTTTCCATCTTCTTCTACTCAAATTCTTGCACCAAATTGCTCAAACCCTAGATTGTTCCTTTCACTGAGCAAAATCCCTAATGGGATTTTACTGAAGAAAAGAGATGTTGTAGTGAAAACTTCACAGCACCACAATAACAATGATAATGAAAGCGTTAAATGGCTGAATTGGTTACCCACTGGAGGTTTTGCGGCTGATAACGTTTTCAGGTTGATTTCCTCCACCACCGCCAGTCCCATTTACCAGTTTATTGCTTCGCCTTCCACGTTCTTGCACTCTGTGGACCCCAGAATCAAATTGGTGATTTTTAGTTTTAGCCGAAATTTTGGCTTTTTGGGTTATTCTTTGGTTGGTTGTTGTTGTCACTTTATGGGCTTTGTTCGTTAATGTTTAAGAATCTGTGGGTCTGTTCATGAAATGATTTTTATATTTAGGGAATTCATCTATCGGGTTATGACTGTTTCTTGCTGTTTTAGTTTTTCTGGAGTGGAGACTGCAACAGCATGTAGCTTAGGGATCATAATTTCTCTGTTTTATCTGCAAACAAAGAGAGGTTTAGGAAAAAAAATCATGATTTCTTTGAGTATCAGTTTCTCGCTATCGGCAGTGAATTTGGCCCAGGTTTTACAGAGAGCAATTATCACTTAACAATAAATTTCAAGGCAGTGCCTTGAAGTTTTAGGACATTAGGAGTTGATTGAGGACAAGGAGATGAAATTATGTTCACCAAGGTTTTATGTTTAACTTAAACATCCGATATAGATTCACCCAAAGTTTTCTGTCCGTCTGTTCTCAAAATTGGCTCAAGGATTTGGCTTTTTATGGTAGAATGTCGTATCATAGAAAGGTAGTTTCACAAAGTTCTCATTGTAAATGAGATTTTAATCTTTTGTAATAAGAAAATTAAGACATGTGCAAATATATATTTGGTTATAGTTTCTTATCCAATACAAAAGCAACGATTTCTAATTTGAATGCCCAATCATTTTGATTATTCAGGTATGGCTCTTGGCTCTAGTTGTCTTACCAGCAAGGTCGCATATAATAATGCGAGTTGGATTAGTCATATACACAAGTCTTCTGTCAATATGGATCCTTCCGAAACACGTGTGGATGGTAAGTATAGTAATTAGATTTTAACTACAGAGAGTTCAATGTGGTTGGATAAAGCTGAGTCCCCATATACAACTTTCTGACATTGATTTCTTGCGTTGCTTGATGAAGTTTGCTAGACTAAACTTTTATAATATGGCTCCCATTGTTCATGAAGAAAGAAAAAAGGTGGAGTTTTTTGCATGTAGATCTGGCTTTTTATGCTTGATTGCTCTGCTGTTTGTAAACTTTTGCTGCTTACCAGATGAGTTTTGAGTTAAGAAAAAGTATTTTGTGTTGGACAAGTTGGTACATGTTAGGTGGTTGGATCAAAATAACTATTATAAATTGTCGAGATCTGCAGTCTATTGTGCTAGGTTGAATTTATGTATAATGTAGAGCAAAAAATATATTTGCAGTCTATTTTGCTTTGATGAATTTATGTATCATGTAGAGCAAAAAATATGTCTGTAGTCTATTGCGCTTGATTGAATTTATGTATAATGTAGAGTGAAAAATATTCTTTCTCTAGACTGTATACCTTGTTAGTCAATGGCTCCAACATGTGCTGTTTTAGATGTTACTTTTTTATGTCATTTACCAGCAGATCCATACTTCAATAGTGATCTCATCATATTTATGTAGTTATATTTGAATTTCTTGGACAATGTGGTAATGTTGCATATCTTCAACTTTTTGTTGAAGCTAATAGATTATCATTATTGTTTACACTTGCCTGGATTTTTACTGCTGGTTTTAATTAGGTTACTGTGTTGTTATCTCCCTGTTACTTTTTTTTTTTTTTTTTTTTTCTGGAATCATTTTAATATAGATATCTTTTAAATGTTTGAAATATTCAAACTAGTCGCTGGTATAACACTATGTTGAAATTCCTTCAACTCTTGTAGGACCAATTGGGAAGAGTGTCATTGCTTTCTGGAGTTTTATTTATAATGTTGGGGCTAGGTTCAGATGGTGTACCCTCTCCTGTCCAGTTAAGAACTCCACCACCTGCAGTCATGGGTTTGCCTAATCTTCCTGTTTCCTTGGGAGGTTATTCGTATTTAATTATGAAGCTAGGACCATTACGGTTTACAAGGAAGGGCTTGTCGGTTGCAAGCACAGCTGCCTGCTTAACCTTCACAGTAAGCCTTTTTTTTTTTTTTTTTTTCAATTTTGCTCTTCTATAAACTCTTTTTGCAGATTATGATGGGGTAAAGGACACCCACACACACACACACACACACACACATATCTTTTGCAGGGAGCCATTTTGACACAAACGAAATAGACCAAAGAAGATTATGCTGATTCTTGAAATTTATGTTAAATTTTCAGAACAGTTAATTTTATGAGACTACTTGTCCACCCTTTTCAGAAATTTTTCTTTAGTTAATCCAAGTATTTTCAGTTTTCTTAAAAAAATTTAAGAAAACATTAATATGTATAAGCAGAGTAGACTATGTTGCAAAAGAAATGAATACTTGATCATTCTGAGATTTAGGTCTCTATTTTTGTGAAAGATCTTCCAAAGCTCAAGTCTCTGCCTGGCAACCACTACCCCAGAACAACTTGCATTTGCTATGCGGTGGTTTATGCGCCCTTTGAAACATATCGGTGTTCCAGTTGCTGAAATCATTCTTACCCTTTTGCTTTCACTGAGGTTCATTAATCTAGTGTTTGATGAGGTAAGAGAGGGCTTCTTTTTTATTAAAACTAAACATATCAAATATTTTTTTGATTTATTTTTTTCCAGTTAGCTGATTATTAATATGTATTCATTTTCCAATAACAAATGCCCACCAATTGTGTTTGTAGGTGCGAAATGTCGCATTGGGGATTGTATCTCGTAAGATAAATTGGAAGCAGTTGACAGTGCTGGAGACAATTGATAGTAAGTTATATTGCTAATGTATATGAAGGGCTTCTTGTTTGGTCCCTTTTATTTATTTATTTATTCTATTTTTTGCTTCTATTCTTCTATAACAATTAGAGAAAACTTTATTACATTTTCTTGAATGGCTTGAGGCCATTGCATTTACGTAAGTCTTCATCATTTGCTTTGTAAAAAAGATGTCATAATTATATTTCTCTCTTTTTTGTATATTCTATTATCATATTTTTCTTTGTGGGGTTTTGTTTAGTATATGGTCCTGCATCAATTTTGGTCAGCAACAATCTTTCCTTAACTTCTACCACCTGTTATAAATTCATATTTTCTCATTTATGATGTGTTGTATATGACAAGTGATGGCCTTAAATCAACAATTTTCCATACCTTCGTTCTAGTTTTGAGATTCATAGGTTTAAGTTGTTTATGTCAATAAAATTAAGTCACTAGTAAATTTAAATTTTAAGTATTTATGCAATGAAATTGTAATCAATCTACAGTACATTAGATTGTGTTCTTATCTAATTTAGCTTGTGCATGTGTTTTAAATACAATGCTTAACTTTTCCAGTTTTTTGTTGGATTTGCAGTTTTTGCTTCCTACATTCGTCGGATCTTCAAAAATATTTTTAGCCATGCTGAGCAGATATCTCAGGTTCTTATTTAATTGGACATATTTGTGCCTTTACCTTTGACTGATTAATTTATAGTTTTAAATTGGGCTGTGCTGATTTTTATGGATATACACTGGTTAGTTGCTTATAAATTTCCAATGTTTCAATAGTCTCTTATGCTCTTTTGTAATGGGTGTTGCCTATTGGCAAAATTTTATTTGACTGGATTTGCTCATATGTTCTTGTATCGTTGTTTAATGAAACAACTGTTTACTGATTTACAAATCCCAAAGAATTTTCAGATTTATGGCCGAATGCATATCGCAGAATACTGTACCACATTTTGATTATTTTAAATGATATGGAAACTTAGAGGTGGTAAATGTATCTCTATATCAATCTTTCTGTAACTAGACTCCTTGGTTACAACTTTTGAGAGCTCATAGTATATTCTATGGTCATTCTGCATCTGGGCATTTGGTGTATTGTTATTATGCAATAACTAAATTGAAAAGAGTGCTTCCATCTAGAAGTTGTAGATTAATATTTGATTATCGATGCTGTATGTACAGGCAATGATTGTGAGAGGTTTTAGAGGGGACAGTGGAACTCATAAAATTTACGCCTTATCAGAGTCATCTGTTGGGATGGCAGATTTCATTTCCCTGTTTTGCCTGGTCAGCATTGCAGGTGCTGCATTTTTGTCGGAGTACTTCCTTGTTTGATACAGAAGTCCACTCTTGCCAAGGTAATTTGTTGTGAGATCCTTTACTTGATCTGATTGGCAGGTGAGAAACAATATTGATAATTAATTACCATGATCTGAGCAGATATAATCTTGGCATTCATGTGGTGAAGTTTTGCTTAAACTGAAGCCAATACACTCAGGAATATAAGTTGTCAAAATAAAGGTGAGCTGCCATCAGAGAATGCCTGCGTCGTATAGTCTACTGCAATTTTGAAATACTCTGTAATTAATCCATACTTGTATTGCACAGTTAAAGTCAATTTGATTGGTGGCACAACATGAAATGAGAAGAATTATTCAGTTGGAGAAACTCCAGTCGATTAGCTGTATATTAAAATTTACTTTAACGAGAAAACTCATTGGAGTGGAGGCTACCTGTGTAATAACAAAACTAATGGGTTCTCAGATAACTGGACAAAACCTATGGGGGTTTATGAGAATAATCCTAATAAAAACACTATAAAATAACGAAATTTAAATTTAAAAGGCTGTAAATTGCTTTTTTAGCCAAACAAAAAAAAAGCAAGAAAAGGTGTGGTGTAGTTTCTCTAAACCCAGCTCGTCCCAAATATAACTGACATAAAGACTGGTATATGCTATTTTCAAATATTCACTTTAACCCCTTAAATCTAATTTTCTAAATATATTTTCAACACTTTGGTCCCTCATTAGCTAAATATTATCTTTGAACCCACTATTATCAAAGAGATACAAATGGTAAACCCACATAAATTTAATCAATCTCTATAAACTTTGGATTGATGTAAGAATCTGATGAGATTTGTATTATACGAGAGACTCATGCGTCTCATTTTCTTTATATAAATAGAATTATATTATTATAATCCAAGTCGATGAGCGGTAAACCCTACATAGATTTATAATCAACCTTTGTAAACTTTCGATTAATGTGAAAATATAATGAGACCTGTAATATACCTAAGACTTTCTATATATAGATAGAATTCTATTGTCATAATCCAAAACGGTGAGCGATAAACCCCACAAAAATGTAAGCCCCACAAACAGAGTAATGCTACAGTTATCGAAGAATGCGTACCGAATTCATGCACCGAATGATATGACACAATTCTGACCGTCGATTAATATTAATTCAATATTAATCGACAGTCAGGATTGTGTCAAGTCATTCGGTGCGCATTCTTCGATAACTGTATTATTTTCCCCACAAGAAACACCTGTTATTGAAAGTTTGACTGGTAATTCACCTAGAGACTCCACGTCTCACTCATCACTCTCACTATAATCACAGCCAAAGCAGCAATGTCCCTTTCTTTCACACTCAATTCACTTCTTCGTCCCTCCATTCTCTTCAACAAATTTGATCAACTCCCAAAAACCCTAAACACCTAAAACAGTTTCTGAAATGACCAGCTGGAAGAAGCAATGCCATAAGCCATTATTCAACTACTTTCCCCAAGAGATAATCATCCAAATTCTCTCAAACTTACCTGTCAAATCTCTCATGCGTTTCAAATCTGTTACCAAAGCATGATGCTGTCTAATCTCCGATCCTCATTTTATAGGAAACACGTCAGACTGTTGGATGCCGAGGACACTCTAGAAAGACGAAGAGCCCTTTTACGTTACCCGCTGCATAGTATCAAATCTTGCTCACTACACTTCATATATCATGAACCAATTGGTTATTCTATCAATCATGATTTTCTAATGAAAAACTCCGATTACAAATTTAAAATAGTGGGTTCATGTAACGGGTTGGTTTGTCTTTGCGTCAAGGCACAGATTGAACACATTTTATTCTTGTGGAATCCGTGCACTAAAAAATCCATAACATTAATGTCGCCAGGCATAAACAACAAACAAGACTACATCCCTGTTGTGATTCACCACTCGTTTGGTTATAATCAGGAATCTGATGATTACATAGTGGTGAAATTGATCATAATTAGAGCTTTCAAGCCCCAGGTGAAGCTTTACTCATTGCGATTTGATACTTGGAGAGACATAGACGGGTTTCCTTTTGAAATTCATCACATAGAGTCTTCAAAATTTGTGATTGAGGCAGTGACTTGGGGAGTGCTTCGAAGTAATGATAATACTTGGAGCCTAGTGTCACTTGATATAGCAAAAGAAATGTTTCTGGAGCTTCCGCAGCCGAATTACGGAGATGGGGCATTCGGTCTATTATGCCTGGAAAAGTAAGGCTGACACAGAGCCCTATCAACGTAAGTGGTCAGAGCTTAGGTAAGTCCAAGTGCCGTTCAGGTGCAGCCACGTCGCACGCTGAAGCAAGAGGCGTGTTCCTACTAGTGTAGTAGGTGCACGTCAGGTTGGTGAAAGGCTGGAAGTGATCCACGTGTCCAATCCCTGCGAGAATCGAGTAAATCACTCGGGCAAGTGAATAATGGGGCGCAAGGAAGGATTTGGACAGAAATCTGACCCACTTCCTGATTTAGTAATCATTACCTCAACCCATTCCACTATAAATAGAGGTCTCCTCTCCCGTTTGTGGGATGAGCTAATTTCTCTATGTAATAGCTTACTTATTTTCTCTTTGTGATCACTTGTAAGTCAGCTCGCTGAAGGCGACCTGACCTCAACATATTAATACAATATCAGTGGATGTAAGAGTTGCTTGTTTAAGCATTCGAACCACTTTAGACATCGTTCTCCATCTTTTATCCATTCTCATACCCCCATTCGCGTGTATTCTCTAAGTCAGCTTAGCATTTCACACGTGTGTTTAGTTGGTGTCAAAATCACACATCAACAGTTTGACGCTAGAAGGAGGGTCTGATTTAGTATTCGCCCTTCATCAGGAGAATCTCTTACTAATCGGTCCTACAACAGCAAATGGCTCGCAGACTCGAATCTGAGCGAACCAACCGTGGTGATGAGGAGATCCCCTGGGTACAAGAGGACATTTCTTCTGAAATGCCCCCAATCCTGCAAGATCTCGTGGGGGATATTCCTTCAAGCTCACGGCTTGACCCAGCCGTCATGAGCTACCTGGAGAGTTTCAATAATACTCTCCAAACGGTCAACCAAAGGTTTGACCGTTTGGATCAGGTTGCACCACCCGAATCAAATGAAGCGATACCACCGCCTAAAACGCCCGTAGGTAGCATGAACGCGCGAAAAAGGGCAATAGCCCATGTCGCATGCACTACAGCGTTTCAAATGAAGGGAAAGTAGATGGCAAACAGCGGGCCTAAAGGACCCGAGGGACCAGCAAACACCGACCGCACCCCGTGTCGAATACTCGTGGCTCAAAGACTCAGTGACAGGTCATATCTCGAGCTGTCCCATGCCATATCGTGCGAACACTCCCACAAAAGTATGAGGCGGGATGATTCTTATCACCGCCAGAATGATGGTCCCGATCGTCATCGTGCAGGAGGTTTCCACACTCTACGGGGGGGTTCGTACCACCCTGAAGGTCATGAAAATTCCTTGCACCATTCATCACCATCACACGGCTCTAGCCAGCGTGTGTTGAGAGCAGCCGAAACTGTCGACCGAGGTAAAAAGGAATCCAACCTTCGGACTTTCCTCAACCGCAATCACAACAGTCAAACTCGCATGAGGGAAAGCAATCCCCAGATTGCTCCGCTGCCTCAGATTGAGGAGCTACAGTGAGCTCTAGATCAGCTAAAAGCTCAGCAAAATGGGCAAGGGCAGGTCGCAGTAGCGTCTCCATTTTCTTCGGCTGTGTTAGCCGCCCCTCTCTCATCTAGATTCAGAATGCCCGATGTTCAGGCGTTCGATGAAAATTCGGATCCGTAGGATCATTTATACGAATTCAACGACCTGATGGAACTTCATCAAGTTTCTAATTTGGCAAAATGCCAATGCTTGGCAGTGACTCTTACATCTCATGCCAAGCGGTGGTTCAAGTCACTCCCGGCAAGGTCAATTAGCTCGTGGAATCAGATGAGCTCGACATTCTTGAGACACTTCCAAGCAAATAGGAAGTTCTCAATGCCTTTGAGCTACCTCAGCAACATAAGACAAGAGAGGGATGAATCCCTCCAATCTTACATCGATAGATTCCATAGAAAGCTCCATAAAGTAGCTCACACTCCCAAAGAGTTCGTTTGGAATCTCATCATAACGGGAGTTCGTCCATAGACAGATCTGTGGAAGGAGCTGCAATCAGAGGACGATGTTTCCCTCACTCGCTTTTACAACCTTACGGAGAAACACCTCCGTAATGAGAGCTCCGTGGTGGCGCTCCACCGCCATGACCCCGACACTTCTGGCAATGCACCAGGTCGGGGGGAAAATAGGAGAGTTGATCACAGATGGGCTAATGATGATCAGCGAAAAGGAAAGAAACCTCGGTTCGAGCCTAAGAAGTCTTACGCTCCAGTTCCTCGTTGCGATCGCGACAGGACTCAGTATACCCCTTTGAATGCATCCGTTTCGGCCATTCTTGATAAATCAGAAGAGGCCGGTCTGCTTGGAGAGCCTGAGCCCATGAAAGGTCTCTTTTCATCCAGAAACAGTAAAAAATATTATCGTTATCATAGGGACAATGGGCATCACACCGATGAGTGCTGAGCTCTCAAGAAGGCAATCGAAAATCTTATCAAGCAAGGGCATTTTAAAGAGTATGTTAATGACTCTTCTCCCTTACGTTAATGACTCTACTCCCGTAAGGAGAAAAATCAAGAGGAGCTGAGTAAGAAGCGTCGTGATCGCAAGGGTGTCTGTAGCATGGGGATAATCTTTGGAGGACCGCACCTCGGAGGAAACTTGCGAGGTGCCCAAGAAAGATATGCTCGTGTAGCCCATCACGACCCTATCAGTGTGATGAACACGACGCAGCGACCACCAAAGGTTCGTAGGGAGGAGGAAATTACCTTCTTCGAAAAAGAAGCAGTCCGATTGCATCATCCCCATGATGATGCTCTCGTCATCATGCCCCAAATAGGATGCTTTGATGTCCACAGAATGTTGGTGGACAACGGAAGCGCTGTGAACGTCCTATTCCAACCAGCTTTCGAAAGAATGAAGTTGGACGAGGCCGACTTGAAGCTCGCCTCGATCCCCCTATATGGTTTTACCAGGGATCATCTGATCCCCAAAGAGACGATCTCGATTCCAGTCACGCTGGGTGACTCTGACAAGGTGACCAAAATAACTGAATTCTTAATAATAGATTGCCCATCCGCTTTCAATGGCATTCTAGGGCGACCTCTACTGAGGAACTTCAAAACAGTCACTTCGATCTACCATCTCAAGATGAAGTTCCCCACCTCGACGGGGATAAGGGAAGTAAGCGGATCTCAGCGCGCACCTCGCGACTGCTATGTGAAGGCAGTGCAGATGACGTGCAAGGGGAAAGGCATCTCGCGTGGCATTCCTAAACAAGCAATGGCGATCAGTTGGATCGAACCACAGCCTGACCCAGCCGAGGATAATATGGATCCCCATATCCAAGAATGCCCTGCCAGTGGGCCAGTTGAGGATCTAACGGAAGTGTCAGTCGATCAGGGCGAGCCGAGCAGAGTGTTGAGGATTGGAAGCAATCTCAACCCCTAGCTCGCTAACGACCTGATCAGCGTCCTTAGAGGGAGCATTGATGTGTTCGCATGGACGCATGCCGATATGGTCGGGATTAGCCTGGACGTCATTTGCCATGCCTTGAACATTGATAGTGAAGCCAACCGGTCCGCTAAAAAAGAAAGGCGATGGATCCAAAGCGGAATGCTACCTTGAAAATCGAGGTAGATAACCTCCTTCAGAATGGGTCCATTCGAGAAGCGCTCTACCCGAGCTAGGTTGTCAACCCAGTTCTCGTAAAGAAATCCAATGGCAAGTGGCGGACCTGTGTAGACTTCACCGACCTTAACAAAGCTTACCCCAAGGACAGTTTTCCCCTCCCAAGGATCGATCAGCTCATGGATGTCACATTCGGGTACGAGCTACTGAGTTTTATGGACGCATACTCAGGATACAATCAAATTTCGATGTATGAGCTGGACGAAGAGCATACCTCCTTTGTAACAGATCGGGGGCTGTATTGCTACAGAGTTATGCCCTTCGGCCTAAAAAATGCTAGTGTAACTTACCAACGGTTGGTTAACCGAATGTTTTCCGAGCAGATCGGGAAATCGATGGAAGTCTATATTGATGGCATGCTAGTCAAGTCGCACGTGGCTTTAGATCATATAGCACATCTCGCTGAGATGTTCGACATCCTCCGGGAATACAGAATAAAGCTCAATCCTTTCAAATGCTCATTCGGAGTATCCTCAGGAAAATTTCTAGGGTACATGGTTAACCAGCGGGAAATACAGATCAACCCCAAGAAAATCCAAACTCTCCTCGATATGGAGAGCCCGACCAATAAAAAATAGGTCCAAAGCCTCAATGGGTGAATAGTGGCACTAAGTCGCTTCATATTGAGAGCAACAGATTGCTGTTTGCCATTCTTTAATGTTCTTAGGGCCAATAAGAAGTTTGAGTGGACTCCCGAGTGTGAACAGGCATTTCAGAGCATTAAAGAGCACCTCGGAAGGTCACATCTTCTATCTAAGCCTCTCCCGCGAGAGATCCTCCTCTTATATCTATCCGTCTCTCAATATGCAGTCAGTGCAACCTTAGTTCGGGAGGAGAGCAAGGTTCAGTGGCTAGTGTATTATGCGAGCAAGCATCTGTTAGATGCCGAAATACGGTATCCGAAAATGGAGTGATTAGCTTATGCCCTGCTGATCGCTTCCCAAAAGTTGCGACCTTACTTCCATGCCTATACAATGACAAATTACCCGCTCAGGTAGGTCCTCCAGAAACCAGAGGCATCGAGTAAATTGCTCAAGTGGGTCATGGAACTAAGTCAGTTCGATCTGCATTATAGACCGAAAGTAACTATCAAAGGGCAAGCTATTGCTGATTTCATTTCAAAATTCTCATATCATCCGACCAGGGAATCCAAGCAACAAGCCAGTGAATTCAGCTAGGAAACTATTCAGAATTTGTCGACCTGGAGCCTATACATTGACGAATCATCAAATAGGAAGAGGGTCGAGGCAGGTCTTCTCCTCTTAAGTCCCGAGGGGACTCGTATTCATGGCATCCTCTGGTTTGGGTTCAAAACGACCAATAATGAGGCTGAGTATGAAGCTTTGCTCGTTGGATTGCGGTTGGCTAGAGAAATGGGATCAACCACGATCAGCATACACAGCGACTCCATGCTGGTTGTCAACCAGATTTTGGGGGAATACCAGGCCAAGGAAGAAAACATGATCAGCTATTTGAAGAAAGCTAAGACCGCACTCGAGCCGTTCAAGCACTTCATGATCATGCAGATTACTAGAGATAGCAATTCTGTGGCAGATGCCTTGGCGAAGATAGCCTCATCGCTAGACTCAGATGCATCAGAAAGTATTCCTGTTCGGTTCATACAGGCTCCCAGTGTCAACTCGACCGAACAGGCCGTGAATACAGCAGAATCAGTTTCTTGGATGACCCCTATCATTCAATATCTCCGAGATAGGGTCTTGCCCAACGACAAGGTCGAAGCAACGACCCTGCGAACAAGAGTTGCTTGTTACATGCTAATAGGAGACCAGCTGTACAGGTGAAGGTTTAGCACCCTTCTTCTTAGATGTGTAACCGGTGAAGAAGCAGACTACATCATGCTAGAGATACATGAAGGGATCTGTGGTAATCACACGGCTGCACGATCTCTCGCCAACAAAGTTTTTCGTCGAGGATATTACTGATCCCTGATCTAGGAAGACACTTACAACTTTGTCAAAAAATGTGACAAGTGACAGCAGTTCGCAAACATACTGCGAGCTCCTTCCCATCAGCTTATAACCATGATCAGCCTCTGGCCATTCTCCATGTGGGGAATCGATCTCATTGGTCTCATGCCAGTTGGTAGAGGGAGAGTTAAGTATGCGGTGGTCGCGGTAGACTACTTCACCAAGTGGGTCGAAGCAGAGCCATTAGCCGCAATCACCACCAAAAAGCTCAAGGATTTTGTCTTAAAAAATATTGTGTGCCGCTATGGGATTCTTTATACCCTCATATCTAATAATGGGAAGCAGTTCGATAACGAGGAATTCAAGCAGTTTTGCGACGAGCTGGGTATCCATAAAAAATTTGCCTCAGTCACAAGACCGCAAACAAATGGTCAAATTGAAGCTGTCAACAAAACCATCAAGCACACTCTAAAGGCCAAACTTGGCGCAACCAAGGGAAATTGGGCAAACGACCTTCCTGAAGTCCTGTGGGCATATAGGACGACTTCGAGAACCTCAACCTCAACCTCAGAAACCCTTTTTTTGCTAGCATATGGCTGTGAAGCGATGATCCCTGTGGAGGTACGAACCGGTTCACTTCAGAGGGACCTGTTTAGTGAAGTCGACAACGAAGTGCTCATGCGCGCAAGTTTGGATCTAGTTGAAAAACATCGCAGCAAGGCTCAGCTAAGAATATCAGTCTATCAGTAACGCGCAAAGAGGTTCTTCGACTTTAAGGTCAAAAGAAGAGACTTCCGGGTTGGCCACCTCGTTTTAAAGGAAGTCATTCTCGGTACTAGAGAATCAAGTGCGGGAGTTTTGGGACAGAACTAGGAGGGCCCATACCACATTGCCAAAGTGATAAGTCTAGGGACTTATCATCTCAAAAGGCTGAATGGTTCTGAAGTACCACGAGCTTGGAATGCTGAACATCTTCGACCATATTATCAGTAATTCCGAACTCAATTGTTCCTTGTAAAGCTTTTACTTTTTCTTAATTTTTGCAATCTTTGTAAATAGCGAGTATACAATTCTGTTCATTTGTAATCATTTTCCCATGTATACAATTCTGTTCACATAAACTTGTACCAATGTTATTGTAATCAGTTAGAATGCGATCTCATATGTAAGAATGCGAAAATTGTAAATACTCATGAAAGATTGTAAAAAGCAATGTCTTTATTTATAGAAAGGGAAAGTACATAGGCATAAAGGGAGAAAACAAGAGAAGCGGATCATTGATTCTCGTCGGGCTCCTCTAGAACGAACTTTGGATGTTCCTCTTCCAGGTTAGGTCCCCAAGCCGCTTCCTCAACCTCGGCCTGCGCCATGGAAGCAAGTTCATTCTGATACTCCTTAGGGAGATCGGACAGATCCATCTCAGGGTTCTTCGAAAGAAGGGCAAAGATGGACTGTATCGTCCATTCTACAGCCCTACTCTCGACCTCTGCCTCTTGCTACTGCATCTCCACAGTTAGCGAAGTGATGCGACCTTAGTTAAAGTGGAGCTCAACCTCAAGCGCTGATCGCTACTTCTCAGTATTCTCCCACAACTCGCCCCTTTCCCTCTCTGCTCGCAAAGCCCGCTCAGAGGTCGTTTGCAGCGCCTAGTCTTTCTTGCTAGCCTCCTTGCTGAGTCTGGCCACGATCCTCTGGAGGTCATTCACCTCCTAACTGCGCTTTTCCAGCTCAGACTTCTGAAAATCCACCGCGCGAAGTGCAGCATCCCTTTTGGACAAATGCTGCTTTGCCTAAGTAATGGACAGGTCTTTGTCTGTTCGTGCGGCCTCTAGCTCCTGCTCGAGCTGTGCATTCTCTTCCCTCATCTCAACTAGTCCCTCAGCAGCCCCCAGCTGGACCTTCTGCAGGGATAGGTGCATAAAGAGTAGAGCCTGCATAACGAAGATAATAAAGTTAATCCCTTATATTACAAAAGCAAATGTCCTCGCCGAGGGCAGCTCGTTTACCTGGCTCAGGTGGTGGAAGGACATGGTCATCAAGTCCATGGTGCCAGAGGCCACGAACTGCTCAAAGGCCTCCACAAGCCCGCATTCGAGTAAAGCGAAGACTACCAACTACAGATAGTTCGGTAGCTGACGCGTTGACTCCAGCACGGGGGTGTCTCTGCCAGTAGCAGGTAGAGTCCCCTCCACCGGCTCCTTTCTCGACCTCCTCCCGGAGACTACGGTCACCTATTGTGTTGCCTATTAACCCCCGGGAGCGATAGAGATGTCGATCGTGCCTCTAGCTGACCCTCTCGAGTGGAATGCTTGGTAAGGCTGCGACCTCTTGAGTTGGATACCCAAACCCTTTGGTTCGGACTCCGACTCCTTGGTCTGAATTTGCCTTCTCTTTTTAGGCCTTTAGGCCGTGGTTTTCTACTTCGGGTGAGCAGCAGAAAGCTGGGAAGCGCCCGCAGATCAGGCCGGATCAGCTATCGATGTCCCTCCGACAGTGGGACCGATGGGAGTCGCTCCAGCTGGTCTGGTGGCACCCCTTCAGGGGAAGGCGAATTGTCATGGTCATAGTGACTTAGGCACCCTAGGAGGCATGGTCGTTGCACGTGAACGTCGTTAGAAAAACAGTTCGCTGCATGCGAACTCAAAAAGGCTAAGGTCAAGAGGCTAACTCGGTGTGGTCTCTAGGGTTACTTTTGAGTTGAAGAAACCGTACTTCCGCAAATTCGCAGTTGTCAAGAGCAATCTTGCGTCGCGACTCTTTTCGGGCAAAAAGCCAAAGGTTGCGATCCTGTCCGGATCCTCAAGGAGCTTTAACCTAGTCGTCTTGTTAACT